TATCAAGTTTCCGAAACTCTGTTCTGCCATCACCAATCGGGCCATTTTACCTTAGAGAGTTTTTAGTGACAAAACCAGCTCTTGACCTTATCGAGGCTGTATGCAGAACAAGATCGCTATTGATGCTGCTGCTACTCAGTTTTGCATAGGCATGAAGTATGATTTGGAATTTAGAACTCCAAATAAATACGGACAAAATTTTTAAGTTGGGGAGAATATGGCTGAGTTGTACAGCGAACTCAGTACGGAGTATTCAAATGTATCAATTGAAAATCCATTTGACAAAGAAGATTGGGAAATACAAATACGAAGTAATTTTTATGGCTTTCCGGCGAAGATTTCCTGGAAAACAGTGACAAAGCAAGAGTGCGGTCTTCCCCCTCCAAATGCATTGTTGCAGTTTCCTCCGATCGTGAACCAGTCCAGAGACTTTGCGGCGATGCTACCTTTTCTTTTGGCTTTGGCGTCAGTCTTCAACTCCTCACTCTAGCGGCAAGCGCAAGTCGAGGTTGGAATCTCGAGCCGATCGATGTTCAATGGCTGTATTTGTTTAGGGGCAAAAGAGATATTTACAAATGAATTATTTACTTAATTATTTCATGGGTGGCTGTGATTAGCCATTTTGTGACTGCATATAGAACTGCCCGGGAAGAATAGATAGCTATCTCAATTTTAAGGATTTAGTAAATAGATACTTCGTAGTTCGTACTACATTAAACTGTACTCCCTCCGTCCCTTTTTAAATGTCCCGTTTTACCATATTGGGATGTCCCTATTTAATTGCCCCATACCTTATTTGGTAAACTTTGTGTGGCTCAAAATCATTCTTACTTTATTCTTACTTTATCAATTAATATCAACCACACAAACTCACTTTTCTTAAAACCCGTGCCACCATCTCCGTCCCATTTAAAAGGGGACGGAGGGAGTAATACACAGTACTCATTTTACGAGTCGATTATCACAAAAACTTTGAATTTTATGTCAGCTTATAAACCCAAACAAGAACCTCAAAATGGGAAGGATGGTTAAATGACTAAAGTTTGACATATACGAAGTATATTGATTAAAATAGGATGATCTTTATTTTGTCTAAAATAGAATTCAATTTAGTCAACCAGTCACTCCTAAAAATTAAATAGATAATACTTCTGTTATTTTTAGATTGGTGGGAATCTTATTTACAAGGATAAAGTGATAAAAATAGACATGGTCTTTTGAAAAAGTGAATTGCTCAGACTTTTTATAACTTTTTATGTTTTCCATCTATTACATCTTTCATTAATTTGTTTCTTTTTACTCCAGGGGACGTCTGGGGGAGGGGGCTGGAGGGAGCCTGGAGTAATCTAGACTGAAACTCACTCTATTGAGTTTCGAACACGAGACCTCCCGTAAGAGTAAGAGAGAGAGTCGGCGACCCGCTGGGCTGGACCGCTTCCTCTCTTTCATTAATATGTTCATTGTACGTACATTTGCACTAACTTTTCGTCATACCACACTTATTAAAAGTTTGTGATTAAATTTATATATACCTGATAAAAGTAAAAATATTATTCGAAATAAGATCGAGTAAAATATAAACAAAGTTAAAAAATGCTAATATGATTCCCTATGTTTTCTTCTCAGAATATAACGACCTATAGAAAAAGCTAAGAATCCAAAAATAGAAGTTAATAGATTGTATGTTAGGAAGAAAACATTGATTATCTTATTTTGAAAAATGTGATATTAAAACTTTGTTATTTTTCCTTTTGTGTTGTCCTAATTAAAAACTTTATCATTTTCTGAATTTGTGGTTCTTATTAATTTTCTCTGATCTGCATAGATCTCAACTGCACGATTATTTTATTTTATTATATCTCGCGTCAGTCAAATTCAGCAAGGTTTTGAAGGGTCGAAGGAATATGTATTATTTCTACTTTTAGGAATTCTACAATAATAATATGCATCATAACATGTCTCTTCTTCATTCTTCAACTCTGTATCAGCCATATACAATTAATTTATGAAATAGGAACGAACTTGAACAAAATACGAATTACCCGTAATTATATGGTACAGATAATTTATTTAATTTAGTGGAACGAAAGAATCAAAGATGGAGAATATATATATGTGAAATTAAGTGTGGCCTTTCTTTCATTATTTAAGTTATTATATTTAAAGTCAACGTAACGTACTTGATTTTGACGCCCCTCTTAATAGGGACGACAAGAAGTTCGGCCACCCAATCATCGATGGTTCTGATATTGTTCCATTTCATCCGTCGGATGAAATCGCTTTGGATGGCGACGGTGACGCCCAAGGAGGAGCTCTGTAGGGCCTCCATCACGTTGACCGACGGAGCCGACAGTCTTATCTCGGTCAACCCGTTCTGCTGCAGCAAGTCCACCACCACCGACGGCACCAAACTCTGCGTCGCGTATCTGCCCCAATATATTCCGACGAACCCCTCCGCTCCTCTTATACCTCCTCCTCCTCCCACCAGCACCACCAACAATAACACCGCCGGTACCGGCACCCACGCCGGAAAAAATAACGTCCCCGCCCCGCCATTGAGTTTCCGCCGCTCCGCCACCGCCATTATATTAATCTCCCCCACCACCGTTCCGAAATTTTTAAGGTTGTAGCGAGATTAATTAATGGCAGCGGATCGGAAGGGAATTAATTAACCTATCACGATCAGAATGTGTGAGTAGGTTTAATTTGTATCAATGTCCGGCCGGATTTATGAATGCATGCATGCATGCATAAGGCATACATGCAAGATTCTTGATTAACTACAATGGCTAATCTGTGTAATGAAAACACCACATTAATTTAGATCAGATCGAGATAAATGTCTGGTCATTCGTATTGGCTGGTTGAAAATTCCTAACTTGAGAAACCCTATGTTTGTGAACGGATAACCACAGAAAAATGGGAGAAGATTCGTGGTCAAAAAGCAAGCTATTTAGCGATCATCATGAGCAATGAATATTTATTATACGTCGCATTTTTATCGTAGGGGGTGTCAGATAGTCAAGTACTCCTCAATCATTTTTTTTTTGAATTGTTTTCGGTGCAAGACCAAATCAGATTAGATCAAACCAGACTCAAATAGGTTAGAGACGAGATCGGAGTCAAATAGATCAGACCATTTCAAACCACATCAGACTAGACAAACTCTCACAAAACAGACTAGACAAACAAATTTCAATCCAAAAGAAAACAGCCTTACCTTGCAAGTTGCTCCATTTGTTGTTAAGAAATTGCTTGTAAAACATATTCCATATAGCTTTTCCATGAATAAGAATCTATGTCTAGTCTTCTCTAAATTGGACTAAACGTTAATTTCTTACCCCTAATACTCTTAATTTAATTAATAAATTAGTTACCCCACTAGTTCCCTTAGACAACCGGGTCAGTTTGTTGGTGACAACTCAATCCGTTCGTGGCGGGCAATCCGGTGATGGTGGAGGCGGGGGAACTCCGGCGATTGGCAACGGTGGCAGGCGGACTTTGCAAAAAAATAGAAATTTTTTGGCCCTATTAGATAGAGCTCCGCGACCAACGCGCAGTGGCGGTGATCGGACAACGGTGGTGTGAATCTGGGCGGCGACGGGTGGCAATGGTGGCAGTGGATAGGGGCTAATACCTGCAGGGGCACTTTTGTCCAATCTAAAAAAATACTCTTATTCCGGGAATTTTAAAACTCTACTCCTATTTTTGCATATGTTTTACTCCCATTTGAGTAATTAACCCTTCACTCTTAAACGGTATTTGATATTCGAAAAAAGCTTGACACGAGCTCAAATTACCTCGTTAATAATTTCGACTTTCAATTCGTTTTCCAGCTTGTTTATAAATTGCTTGAAAGCAGCTCCCTTTATATGTGGCCAACTCAGGAAGCATGTTTCTTCTTTATAACTGTCAGATTGGCCTTGATAAGTGGGCGAGAAGGCTGGGATCCTTAAGTCCAAAGGAATTGAAGGAGGTCTTCCTATTTAAGAATGTTCCTAGATAGGGGTAAAACGTTTAGAGAGGGTGGATAGACTTTTGAAACTTTCTTTATCCTTTGGAAGTGACCCACTATAAGAATGCTTGTCAAATGTTTTGAGAGACCTAATAGCTTGTCAGCAGAAAAATCGATCCCTTTAACTTTGACATTTAGGTAAACAAAAGTTATAACCCTTTAAGTTTGATAGAATGATGGATTAAACAACAATAGAAAGTGTTTATAAACTGGCAGCAAACAGGTTAGCAGTTTGCTTAGTAGAGTGCTCAGCAAGCTGGTTCAGCAGCTTGCAGCAAATTATAGTATTTTAGATAGAGACAAAATAAGATATCTATAAACACCTTAGGCCACTTCAGTGTATTACTCTTTATAGAATGGGTTATTTTAGAGATACATGGCAAAGCTTTAAGGAGGGAGTTGAGTTGTTTAAGCAAGGACATGATGTTCAGTTAGGGCTGGACTCGGGCCGGGCGGCCCGACCCGGAACCGGCCCGGCCCGGTTACTGTTTGGCCCGGCCCGGCCCGGGGCCCAGTGGGTCCAGCGGTTCGGTTTGGCCCGGCCCGGGTGATGGGCGGTCCGAGCTCGGGCCCTGCTTTAGGCGAACCGGCCCGGCCGGTTCGGGCCCGGTCCGGGCCAGATTTTAATTTTTTTTTTTTTTGAATTTTTATTAAGTTTTGGGTTGGATTAGGTATTTTGGGCCATTTGAGGTGGTTTGGGGTGGTTTGGGGTTGAGGGGGAGGGGTAGGGGGTTAAATAGGTGTTGAGGTTTATTCCTTCAACCCTTGGACCCAACACGTAAGCCCAAAGATTTCGAGTGGAGTGAGTGTATGAATATCTAACCCAACAACTATCGGATGGATCAGGAAAACAGAGGAAAATAGCAGGCAATGTAAATAGGTATTATTAACTTCGTAATAACTCCCCTAAGTACAATCTACTTGCTAAAAAGGCACGTCGGCCGTTCGTCTTACAAGGCAGTTGGAAATGCTACAAGTAAGAATGCTGAAGCTAGTAGGCTAAGAATAGAAAGTTGCCAACCCTTTACAATGAAATAAATGCTTCTATTTATACCCGCCAATGGGCAGGTGGCTGTACTGACGTGGCAGCCTGTGGACCGCTGGTGCCCCAACTACCAAATCTTCAGCATTAAATGCACTTCCCGCCAGAATCTAGGTTTCCCGCCCAATCAGTGGGGACGTTCGTCCGCCCGGGAAGTGAGTCGGATCGCTCCAAGTGACCCTCAAGAGATACCGGCTGTTCGTCTCCTGGCCTTGATAGATACTCACCATGTGGACTGGGTTTCCTCCGATGACCATAGGCTTGGCATGGGGACGTTCGTCGTCATCCCTGGTGGCCCGTGGCCCTGCTCCTTGTCCCTGCATAGACGCTCGTCGGGATGAGCCGCTGGGCCTGAACTCCCAACCCCAGACGTTCGTCCATCCTCAAGGAACATGGGCCTGTGGGCTGGCCTTGTGTTCTAACTGGACGTGCGTCTGGTAAGGAGGGGTTAGTGGGCCGGACCTCGGCTTGGGCCCTTAACCCAACACAAGTCCCCCACTTCTGATGTTCTGAGCATGCGCAGGACATAAGGAAGTATGAACTCCCTCGAAGTAGACGTTCGTGTCTTGATACTTGCGTTTACTGCATCCGGTGGAAGCGTACGCTCGTGGTCATGGTACTTGACAGCTGTCGACGATTCAGGAAACGAGATGACGGCTGCTGTAGCGGCGGTGCATTTTCCCGAGGAAGTGTCATCATTACGCTTCCATCCCACGCACGGCGCGTGAGCCGGACCACGCTCCTTGCTACGTGTCAACCCCTCGTTGGCCCCTTAACCGGTGCTCCCCCTATAAATGCCGGGTTTTCCCCCTGAATTAGGGTTCCCAATTTCTGCTCCCTTGCCTGAGAATCTCCGCTGTTCTTCGAGTTCTCTGTTTGGCTTCTGAGTTCAGCTAGCCTCTTTGTAAGGTAATTTCCCTCCTCTGATTCTTTTCTTTGTTCTGACTCCTAGCCGAAATGACTTCGATGGAGATTTCGTCAAGTTCTGATTCCGGTTCGTCGGGTTCCTCTTCGGACTCCTCTTCTGACAATGTGAATGCGCGCTCCCCGGGAAAGGCCAGTGTTTCTGGGACTTCTGGTTCGGCCACGACGGTAGGGACCATCCGGGCTGATGGTGAGCCGGATGACGCTTCCCAAGGTAGTAGGAGCGATGCTGGGGATGGAAATGCCGACGGGGCAGTAGATGTTATTGACGCAGTCCCCTTGAATGAGCGCCCCGCCGATTATGATTCTGGGGAGGAGGCCGAATCAGGTTCTGACATGGAGGTGCATGATCTGGGCATCCCTACGGACATGGAGCGCCACATCTGTCCGATCCGAAGCGCCCTCGACCATGATCAAGTCCTCTCCCGCGTGGCTCTTAACAAAATCCGCACCTTCTTCCCCCCGCCGTTCGTCTGGAGCGTGAGAGGTGCCGAGCACGTGATGAGGAGGCGTCCGGGGATGATCATGCTTCATTTGGACTCCGTTGAAGCCGGGCTGCGGTTTCCACTTCATGCATTTTATGTGGAGTTCTTCCACTGCTTCCAAGTGGCCCCGGCGCAATTCATGCCAAATTCTTATAGGTTTATATCGGCCTTCTTGGTGCGCTGCAAACTTGCGGGAGTCGATGCCACCTTGGATCTGTTCCACTACTTCTTCTGGATCACCCCTCAGAATTCCGACGGTTATCTGAGCGTGGCCGCTCGTCCGGGGAGGAGGCTGTTTAAGAGCTACCCCTCCTCCATTCATGACTGGAAAAACCGGTTCTTCTTCCTCCGCTATGATGGTCCTCCCCTCCCAGTTCGTTGGAATGGCTACCCCCCGAAGATTGAGTCGCCGGAGTTGACCGATGACCTGAGCGAGGCCGTGGAAGGCATCCTGCAGGGCGGCATTCGCCCCATAGCTGGCTATCTGACCTTCGAGGCACTCTCGGGGGCAGGCATAGGTACCGCCCGTGTCCTTGGATTTTTTCCACCCTTCGACGCTCGTCTCGGGGCACCGGGCGGTCCTGTCCTTCGAGGTGAGTGTCCTTTGCATTCTCTGTTCGTCTTTTAACCCTTTATTATTTTCCTGCAGGTTCTCCGCCAGATAGAGCTCAGATGAATCACGCCGAATGCCTGAAGACAAGGAAGGCCAAGCCGGCCGCTGCAAAAGCCGCGCTGGCGAAAGCCAAGAACGCCCCCTCCTCAGACTCCAACTCTTCGGCTTCTGATGCTGCCCGGCAGACGGCCGAGGGTGAGCAGCATCTAATTGCCACGATGTTGGCCCAGGGGTCCGGGGCCCCTGCTCTCCCGCCGCCGGTCGTCTCCACGAAGGCGGCCTCTCAGAAGGGGGGAGAAAAAGCCCCTGAGAAAAAACAAAAGAGGGGTCGCGAGGCAGTCTCCACTGGCCTTCTGCTCGAAGACGCCGGCGCCCTGCCCTTGAGCCGCCCGGCGGAGGAACTCTGGAGGGAAATGGCCCTCAAAGCTGGCCTCGAGCTGCCCCGCCGTTCGTCCTCTGAAGCGACTAGTGCTGCCCTGGCAGCCGCTCTTCAGGTAATTCCTCATTACTAGATCCGAGTACATTTTTTCCTTGACGTTCATCTTCTGACCATTGCCTTTAATTTCCCTTCTTTCATCCAGTCTGGGCTTCTAGTCCTTCAGGCTGAAGCTGCCAGGGAGGCCGATCTGAAGGAGGCCAAAGCGAAAGCTGATGCCGCCCTGTCTCAAGCCCGGGAAGCCGTCCGTCGTGCTGAGGCGGAGGCTGCGGCCAAGGAGAGAGAGCTCGCAGCTCTGCGGGCTGAATCCCGCAGCCAGCTGGCCGGCCTGGAGAGAGCCGGCTTCAAGCTTGTTCCGGTGCTCCCCGTTGAGAAGGGCGCCGACCCAGAGTGGCTGGTTGAAACCTCCGGCTTCAAGAACACCGGGGAGTTCATGGACTCTGCCAGAGACTACTGCGCCGGGGCCTTCGGTGACGTGTTTTCTGCGGCTTTGGAAAAGATACCGCCTCGCCATCGTCTGGCCTGCGGCGTCCGGATCCTCGAGAGCTCTCCTCTGTCCCACAAGTTCCTCTATGAGGTCGGCGATAGCACCTTCGCCGCTGGCTATAATGAGGGGGTTAAGGCCACTCTCCCGATTTTTGCCAAGCTGCAGGGGGCTGACTTTGATTTGGCCGCAAACACCGATGACGATCTGCTAATCCAAGCTCTGGGAAAGCTAAGGAGGGACCGACGTCGGGAGGAGGCCAAGGCCAGGGGAGCGATTCCGGAGCCACCAACCCCTGAGCCTGAAGTCGAGGAGGAAGAGCTGAACCGAGGCGGCAGTCGACCGGGGTCCCCTTTTCTTGTATAATACGAACTGTAATTTCCTTACTTGACTATGTAATGTCCGGCCGTTAGAGCCGAAGAATATACGCCTTTTTTGCCCAAAATTGCCTCTACGTTCATGATCTTTACTTCATATTTGTACTTTTGTTTCCTTCATCGTCTGTTGTATGGAAACTCCTTCGGCGCCTCGATACACTTTGTAGCGGGGTTAGAGTCCGCGAGGACGTTCGTATTTGTTCCTTACTTGCTCAGGGCAACGGCGTCCCCTTGCCAAACCTCCGTACATACTCAAGTGTGCGGAGGTATTGCTAAAGCCCGTCTCCGGGCGTCGAGGCTGGGCTCTGATGCCGGCGTACCGCCCACAAAGTATTCTGACAACGAAACAACGTTCGTCGGTGGCTTATGAACGTATACGGTAACGACGTTCGTCGGTGGCTTATGAACGTATACCTTAAAGTGTGGACATATGGACGCATTTCCTAGAATCAGCGTTTGGTAACGACGTTCGTCTGTTGCCGCGTGACATGAATATTCAAGCTATGTATGGGGACGTTCGTCTGCTTCTACATGTTCCAATGTCATGAAGTATGGAAAGACGAACGTAGCCCATCGATGCGTATGTTCCCCACTAGCCGCCGATATTAGGGACAGCCGATGGTCGTGATCTCCGGGCGTCTCCAGACCCCTCTGAGCCGGTAAGCCCCCCTGGGGGGACGTTCGTGGCATCAACCGGATATCTTCGTTGTGGTTATGCGGCGACGAAATCGAGACGCTTTAAATACCGTGGTAGGTACCGGTATCCAGGCGCCACGTGTCCTGCCTCAGTTGGCGCGGTTCCGCGGTGCTGCCTATAAGTACCCAGAACCCATGTAACTCATTCATACTTCTCCTTAGGTTGCACAATTGCCTTCTCTCTCTAGACTTCTCTCAAATCGTATCGGAAACCCGAACTCCCAAGGTACTGTTCATTGCCATGTATTCCGAAAATCGCTTCGATGATGGCTGTTCTTCCGGCGATGAATTGGAATATTATGAGCGGGGGATGCCGCCTCGGCCTCCCCGTTACAGTCTCAGTTTCTCGTGCGTTCGTCGTCAAACTCAACGCCTGACGAATGCGGACAAGCGTCTGATCAGCCAATGGTTCTATCCTCCAAGGACCTACGACGATCGGCGTCTGCGCAACCCCATGCGCCATCTGCCCGGCTATGAGGTGGTCCACTTGGATTCGGTGATAGCCGGGCTGAACTTTCCCCTACATAGCTTCCACTTGGAGCTTTTCAGGGCCCTTGAGATAGTGCCTGCGCAGTTAGTCCCTGCCGCCTATCGGATAATCGCTGGCTTCATCATTAGATGCCACAGCGTCGGTGTGACCCCCACCGTGGACCTGTTGTATCATTTCTTTCGGTTGTCCCCCTTCGGACGCACGGGGTATTTGACCCTGATCGCCCGTCCGTCCATGGTCCTATTCTCGAACAATGCTGGGAATCCGGATGGTTGGGAAGAGCGCTTCTTCCTGGCCGGAGTAGGCTCACCGATGCCATTCTCTGACCGGTGGAATGCTTACCCAGTGAAGACGATCCCGCCGCCCATGACGGACGAGGAGCTCGGATATGCCAAGCGCATAGCCGGACTTGGCATCCAGAACCTCCGGTTGCTGGTGGCCGAGCCTTTTAAAGCTCAGGCTGGGTTAGGTGCGTCCGTTTGTACTTGTATTGTTTTAACATCTCTTCGCTGTTATGGCTCTGAACGTCTTGGTTCCCTTTGCGCAGAAATTTTTCCATCCACGTCTACCATGAGCCGAGTCAACCCTGCTTCGACAGCCGCCGGCCGTGAGCACAAGGGGCATGACAAGCCCGGGAAGCCGCTCGTCCCCAAGGTCGAACCTCGGGTGACCAGGGCACGAGCTGACGACACTTCGGGGGCCGGCGCCTCCAAGAGGCCGCGTGTTGAGGGTACCTCCTCCAAGGCCATTATCGTGGCCGATGACTCCGATGGGGAGCCCGGAAGCCCCCTCAAGCGGAAGCCCACTTCCCGGACCAATCTCCGTGCTTCTCCTCCGAGGAATTCTGACGTCCGCCGTCTCCGGGATGATGATGCCCCAACCGCCAAAGGTTCTAACGACGCTCGTCCAACTTCGCCCCCAGAAGCCAGTGGGTCTTCTCTTGGCCTGATTGAGTTTTCCGGGGTCGGTCCCCGTAAAGAGTCAATGATGCTCTTCGGCCAGACAGCGTCCTCCATCTGGTGTGGGCTAAATCTCAAGGTTCCGCAGGACTTCGCTGCTCAGGAGGCCCCTGAAGATCTCTTGGAGTGCGGCCAGAGCACCCTGGATAAGGCCGGGCTCTACTTCCACAGGGCTCGGATGGCCTTCGAGCACCAGGGCAGGGAGATGGCCAGGGTGCGGGCCGAATGCGACGCCCTTCTGAGGAATGCAAAAGGCAGGGCTGGCACTCTTCAAGAGAAAGCCGACGCCTATGATAAGCTCGTTCAGGAGAATGCCTCTCAGAAGGAGCTCCTCAAGAAGCAGGAGGCCGAGCTTGTGGATCTCCGCAGCCAGATGTGGGCCGTAGAGCAGGCCCAGGTGGAGCTCCGCCAGACGGGCGTGGACAACCACGTCCCTATCTATGAGGCCGATGTTGCCAAAATCAAGGAGTCTGGATCCATAGCGTTCCAAAGGTCCAAGGCTTATACTGGCGCCATTCACACCATGGCCATGAAGTTCCTTCCGCGGCTCGTCGGCGAGTTTCTGGCCACCTGTCCGGATGCCTATCTGGATGGGGTTAAATTGCTCCAGGCTACCCCCACCGGACGTCGTTTTCTTGACGATCTCGCCGATGATACCTACCGCAAGGGTATGGTTGGTCTGGTAGCGGAGAATCTTCCGACGTTCGAGCGTCACTTCGGGGCTCCCTTCGACCCGGAGGCGGCTGGCTTTGACGTCCTGATGGCAGATGCCCATGCGGGGGCCCTTGAGCTGCTAAAGGAGCAGGAGGAAGCCGAAGCGAGTGAGAAATCCAAGCAGACTCTTTCCAAGGCTCCAGCTCCGGACGTCGATCGGCAGTGATTCTCCGTTCATTACCTTGTATTTGTACAATTTTTTCCATTATTTGCATTGTACCCTCCCACATTGTAATTTTCCGGCCAATAGTGCCGAAGAATAAAAATCATTCTTTGCTCCATGCTCTTCTGGCATCTTTTTTTTTTTTGGAGTCTTTTAGTCTTCGTTCGTCCTTGGTCCTTGGTCCTACCGGCGTCCCTACTTCGAGGAGACGTTCGGTATCCGCAGACATCGCAAGGAGGAACAGGTTTATCTACATCGAGATTCCCCCTTTTTTCGTTCGTCCGTGGTCCTTTTAGTCTTACTGGCGTCTCTTGCTTCGAAGAAGACGTTCGGTACCCAAGGAACTCGCAGGGACGAACAGGTTTACCCTCACGGGTTCCCGACTTTGTTATCCCACGTCCATCGATCCATGGTCATTTGTGGGATAAACAGGTTTATCTTGGCAGGCTCCGTTGGTTCGTCTAGCCCCCTCCACGTCTCTACTAACCTCTACATCGAGAGGCGTTCGTCTTCGGCGGTGGGGGAAGATCTGGCACGCCCGGGCAAGATTCCCTTCCGCATAGGAGCTACTCTCCTCTTCTCCCCATCTTTTTTTTTTTAGGGAGGCAATCTATACTCTTCGTTCGTCATTGGTCCTTGGTCCTACCGGCGTTCCTACTTCGAGGAGACGTTCGGTATCCGCAGACATCTCAATGAGGAACAGGTTTATCTGCATCGAGATTCCCTGGTGCTTCGTTCGTCCTTGGTCCTTAGTCCTACCGGCGTCCCTACTTCGAGGAGACGTTCGGTATCCGTAGACATCGCAAGGAGGAACAGGTTTATCTACGTCGAGATTCCCTTCTTTAACGGTCGTTGGCAAGAACAGAAGTGATGAAAAACAGGGGGCCTTATTATTGACGACGTCCGGTCATTTTACATGGGAGTGGGAATAAAACAAGGACAACAGCCTCTAACTATTGATAGAACTTCTTCAGGTGTTCTACGTTCCACATCCCGGCATGGTTCCCCTCCAGGGTATGGAGGAGGAACGTCCCCTGGTTGTATCTTCTGATGACCCGGTAAGGTCCTTCCCAGTTCTTCACCATTTTGCCACCTTCGAGCGGCTTGCTCTTCTCTCTTTTCCTGAGTACGAGGTCCCCGGCCTCTATTTCGCGGAATTTCACGGCCTTGTTGAAGTATCTCTGGGTGGCCCTGTGATACTCTTCCATAGGACGAGCCGCTAGGTCCCTCCGTTCCTCAATGAAATGGAGCTCCGCTCGTAGGTTGGTCTCGTTGTCCTCCGGCTGGAAGTGTTTGGTGCGATGTGTAGGTACCAACACCTCCGTCGGCACCTTAGCTTGGAACCCATAAGCCAAGGCGAAAGGGGTTTCCCCAGTCGCCGTTCTTGGCGTTGTCCTATATGTCCACAAGACATAATTCAGCTGCTCCGGCCAAGTGGAGGTGTAGTCTTCCAACTTCTTCTTGATCTCATCCATGATGGTCCGGTTCATGTTCTCCACTTGGCCGTTGGCTTGCGGGTAGGCCACTGAGGCCTTAGAGTGCCTGATGCCCCACTTCGCCAAGTATGCCTCAAACCCTCTGCCGACGAACTGCCGGCCGTTGTCGGTGACGATCTGCTCTGGGATCCCGAAGCGGCAAATGATGTTCTGCCAGACGAACTTCTGGCACTGGAATTCAGTGATGGAGGCCAATGGTTCGGCCTCTACCCACTTTGTGAAATAATCAATCGCCACGATGACGAACTTCCTCCCACCAGCAGCCGTGGGCAAAGGGCCCAGCAGATCTACGCCCCACCGAGCAAAAGGTAGTGCGATGGTCATCGGGGTGTAGAAACTCGCTGGACGACCAGGGACAGGTGCATACGGTTGGCATACTGCGCACTTCCGAGTGTGGTTGAAGCAATCTTGCTGTATGGTCGGCCAGTAATAGCCCTGCAGGATGATTTTTCTGGCCAAGGTTCGGGGGCCCTGGTGGCTGGAGCAGATCCCTTCATGTATTTCCTCGATCACCGCTGCTGCCAGGCTCGGCGGGAGGCACCTGAGGTAAGGTCCGCCGAACGTCTTCTTGTAGAGCTGCCCGTCAATAAGTTCAAAGTTGGGGGCACGCCTCTTTATCCATGCAGCTCTTCCTGTGCTGCTATCCTCGTCGGGCTCAGGGAGTGTTCCATCTCTGAGGTAATCTGCTATCTCCTTCGCCCAGTTGGGTTCGGCGATGGAGATAACTTCCACCTGGATGACGTCCGTCGCCGGAGCTGGGAACACTGCCTGCCTGACGAAGCCTCTGATGTGGTGGGGGATGCTTGACGCCGGATCATCGGTTGGGGGGTTGCTTAGTTTTGATAGTATGTCTGCCTCTGCATTCTCCACCCGTGATACCTGCTCAAGGATCACCTGCTCGAATTGTGCGGTCTGCTCCTCCGCCAGCTCCTTGTAAACCTTCATTCTCTCCTCCCTGGTTTCTGCAGTGCCGTTCATCTGGGTTACTACCAGCTGGCTGTCCATCCTCACCTTCAGACGAGCTGCTCCGAGGGCTTTTGCGCATTTTAGCCCCGCGATAAGCGCCTCGTACTCAGCCTCGTTGTTGGTGACCTTGAACTCAAATTTCATAGAGTAGTAGGCTTTGAAACCCTCGGGGGAAGTGATCACCGCTCCTCCGCCACAGCCCCGCGCACTCGAGGCCCCATCGGTGTACATCTCCCACCAATTGTCAAAGTCGTTGCTGTCATGGGATTCGTCCTCGGTGCGCGCGGTGCACTCCGCAATGAAGTCCGTCAGTGCCTGTCCTTTGATCGTCGGCCTTGGTTTGAAATCCACGTCGTACTGGCCGATCATCAAGGACCACTTGGTTATCCTTCCGCTTGCCATTGGATTCCTGAGGACTGTTGCGAGGGGTTGCGTCGTGTAGACGGTCACCGGGTGTGCTTGGAAATACGGCGCCAGGCGCTTGATGGATGCAATCAAGGCGAGGATCGTCTTCTCCATCAGTGTGTATCTCGTCTCGAGGCCGTTCAGCGCCTTACTCACAAAGTATATTGGCCGCTGAACGCCTTCAGACTCCTTCAGCAGCACGGCACTTACGGCCAGATCGGCTACTGCCAAATACATGTACAATCTCTCCCCGGGATCCGCTTTGGTGAGGACGAGCGGAGAGGAGAGATATACCTTGAAATCCTCGAAAGCGGCCTGACACTCTGGGGTCCATTCAAAGGGATTGGCCTTCTTCATGATCTGGAAAAAGGGAATCGCCTTATCAGCCAGCTTGGATAAGAATCTGCTCAGGGCCGCCAGACGCCCGGTGAGCCGCTGCACGTCTTTTAGGTTCTTTGGGGCCTCCATGTCCATAATTGCCTTCACCTTCTCCGGGTTAGGCTCGATCCCCCGCTCGCTCATCATGTAGTCGAGGAACTTGCCGCCCCTGACGGCGAAGGCACACTTCTTCGGATTGAGCCTCATGCTGGCCCTCTCCATGATGCTGAAGACCCTCTCCATGTCCTGGACGTGGTCCTCCTTTTTCTTACTCTTGATCAGGATGTCATCCACGTAAGCTTCCATTGTTTTCCCAAGTACGTCCTTGAACAACATCCCAATCATCCTCTGAAAAGTAGTCATGGCGTTCCTCAGGCCGAACGGCATGACGATGTAGCAATACACGCCGTCCGCCGTAACGAACGCCGTTTTCTCGGCATCATCGGGGTGCATGAACACCTGATGGTAGCCCTGAATGCGTCCATGAAGCTGAGCAGCTCGCAGCCTGCTGTCTCATCCACCAGCAAGTCGATCCTCGGAACAGGGTAAGGATCCATCGGACAAGCTTTGTTGAGGTCCGAGTAATCGACGCACATCCGCCAAGTGTCGCCCTTTGGGGCTAGTACCACGTTGGTCAACCACTCCACGTGGATGACCGGCCGGATGTGTTTGATGCTGAGGAGAGTTGCTGTCTCCTTCCTGATGAAATCGCGTCGGTCGGCCGCCATATACCTTTTCTTTTGTTGTACGGGCTTGGCTTCCGACCGCACGGCGAGTCTATGGCATATGAGGTTGGGGTCGATGCCCGGCATGTCCTCCGGCCCTCTGGCGAACAAGATCCTGAACCTGCGGAGGACGGCTATGACCCCCGCTCTAATTTCCGGCTCTAGATCTGCACCGATGGACACCCTCCTGTCCGTCGGGTCGTCGAGCTTGATTTCTTCCAGCAGAGTTGCTGGTTCCAGATGAGCGTCCAAGTCGGCCTGTTTGGCCTTCTCGGAGATGCTGTTGACCCGAGCCTCCCGCTCGTTGAGCTTCTCCATGGCCTTCATGTAGCAGGCCCTGGCCATATGCGGGTCCGTACGTGCTACCCCCACTCCAGTGTCGGTGGGGAATTTGATGCATGAGTGCCGTACGGAGCATATGGCCCCCAAGTCTTCCAAGCCGGGTCGGCCCAAAATGGCGTTGTGGGCGCACTTTAGGCGGACCACGACGAACGTCATCCCGATCCGGGCGGTGTGAGGGTCGTCGCCGATCTCTACGGGCAAAATGATGGTGCCCTCAGCGTCAATGCAGTCCCCGGTGAAGCCGGACAGCGGGGTACGCAGAGGGTGCAGCATGTCCTTCTTGAGCTTCATTCCCTCGAAAGCCTCTCAGTAGAGGACGTTCACACTGCTCCCGGTATCAACAAGGACGCGGCGGACGATGGCATCGTTCACGTCCATGCTGATCACCAGCTCGTCTCTGTGCGGCGCTGGTGACATCGGCAGATCGGCGGGACCGAAGGTGATTGCCACGATCTTGTTGCGCTTGGTGGGGGGTGCTGATACGGAACCCACATAGAGTGACCTCTCAAATTTTTTCCGCTCGGCGGGTGTGTCCCCTGTCTCAGCGCCCCCGAAGATCACCTTGATCTCCAGCTTCTTGTTTTTGCCCTTTGGGCCAAGGGACCCCTCTGGACGTTTATCCGCACTTCGATAATCCACATCCTGGGGCTCCGCCTCGCGCCGGTCGTCGCGGCGCCATGTCCGGGGCCTTGGGTTCGGCTTCTGCTGGCTGTTTTTGTTCAGCAGCTGGGTGAACTCGCCCAAGTATCCCTGACGGATCAGCTCGTCGATTGCTTTCTTTAGTTGGCTGCAATTGTCCGTCAGGTGGCCGGCCCTCTGATGGTATTCACAGTAGGCCGATTGGTCAAGCCTCATATGCTTCTTCATATCCTGGGGTTCCATCAGGAGGCCCTTGACCTTGATGGCCTCAAAGATTTGGCTCACTGGATAAGCCAATGGGACATAACGGTCATCCGGCCGCGTCTGAATATCTCCGGACGGAGCCTTCTAAGGGACCATCGCCCCGTCCGCCTTCTTATTTTTGTTCGGGGGGGAGGGGCCGGGCCCCGGTCTGGGTCCGAGCCTGTCCGCCATCTTCCGTGGGTGGGCCGCGGGAACTCCGTCCCGCTGCCTGATCTCCTCCTCAATGGAGGCATACTTCTGGGCCTGAGCCAGAACCTCGGTGTAGCTGGTGCCGGGGTTCCTCCTTAGGTCCCGGTACAGATCCCATGTGGCCAGCGCACTAGTGAACATGTTTGTGGCCAGGCGTTCGTCCAGATCATCGACCTGCAGGACCTCGTCCCTCCACCTTACCAGGAACCTAGCCAGTGGTTCGTCCCGCCCTTGTTTGATGTGGGCGAGAGCCGTGACGTCCTTCCTGGGGGTGGTATTGGCAGCAAACTGAGCCATGAACTGCCGGGAGAGCTGTTCATATGAGTCGATGGTGCCCGGCCTCAACTGGCCGAACCATTCTTGCGCCGGCCCCCTGAGGGTGCTGAAGAACAATCTGCAGATGGCCTCGTCCGACGCTCCCAGCATGGACAGGTTCCCTTGGTAGCTTATCAGATGGGCCTTGGGATCGCCAGCCCCATTGTACACCAAGTTGCCCGGGGGCCTGCAGTCCCGGGGAATCTCGACGCTCATCACCCGTGGAGTAAAGGGTGATGTGAGAGAGAAAGAGGGTGTGGCCGAGCCGACGTCCGTCCGTCTATTCATCTCGGCTATCTGCCGTTCCATTGCTTCCAGCCTTGCATCCTGTGCGGCCCTTCCGGGGGACACAGGGGGCGCGGCTTCGAGGACGGCATTCTGCTGAGCGGCCACAGCATCGTGCGGCCGCCTAAAGATCTGCGCACCTCGCCGTTGGAAACGTCGTCCGACAGTGTTGATCCTTGGGGTTTCGTCTCCCCGCGGGACTTGGCGGGGAACCGATGGCGTGTGGGCCCTGGATGTAGCGATGCTGACCCTGGTTCGCCCTCCCGTTTCACGGGAGCCTGAACCTCCACCTAGCCGCTCATGGACTGAGGGCCGGTGGTCGCTGGATCCCGTCGTATCATCATACGACTGCATGCGGCGAATGGGAGAGAGGGGCGTTCGCTGGGTGCTTGCAGAGTACACCTGCTCTCGGGCCTCCCGTTCGCCTGCCAAACGGCGCATGGTGTCAGCGAGTTCCCGCATGAGGCGGGGATCCTGCCTGGCCTCAAGGGGAATGAGGTCAGTGATGCCCCCGTTTCCCCCGGAGGTCCATATCGTCGCGGACAATTCCGAGTTCTGGCCGCGATTCCGGCGGCTTGATTCCAGACGCTCGGAGAGATCACGCTGGTTGTTGCTTCCTGACATCGTGTTTGCTGTAGGTAGATTTAGTAGCTGTTTGGGAGAGTTTCTGGAAACTTTTTGTTCAGTTTCCCACAGACGGCGCCAGTGTTGAGGTTTATTCCTTCAACCCTTGGACCCAACACGTAAGCCCAAAGATTTCGAGTGGAGTGAGTGTATGAATATCTAACCCAACAACTATCGGATGGATCAGGAAAACAGAGGAAAATAGCAGGCAATGTAAATAGGTATTATTAACTTCGTAATAACTCCCCTAAGTACAATCTACTTGCTAAAAAGGCACGTCGGCCGTTCGTCTTACAAGGCAGTTGGAAATGCTACAAGTAAGAATGCTGAAGCTAGTATGCTAAGAATAGAAAGTTGCCAACCCTTTACAATGAAATAAATGCTTCTATTTATACCCGCCAATGGGTAGGTGGCTGTACTGACGTGGCAGCCTGTGGACCGCTGGTGCCCCAACTACCAAATCTTCAGCATTAAATGCACTTCCCGCCAGAATCTAGGTTTCCCGCCCAATCAGTGGGGACGTTCGTCCGCCCGGGAAGTGAGTCGGATCGCTCCAAGTGACCCTCAAGAGATACCGGTTGTTCGTCTTCTGGCCTTGATAGATACTCACCATGTGGACTGGGTTTCCTCCGATGACCATAGGCTTGGCATGGGGACGTTCGTCGTCATCCCTGGTGGCCCGTGGCCCTGCTCCTTGTCCCTGCATAGACGCTCGTCGGGATGAGCCGCTGGGCCTGAACTCCCAACCCCAGACGTTCGTCCATCCTCAAAGAACATGGGCCTGTGGGCTGGCCTTGTGTTCTAACTGGACGTGCGTCTGGTAAGGAGGGGTTAGTGGGCCGGACCTCGGCTTGGGCCCTTAACCCAACAATAGGAGAACCAAAAAAAAAAAATGGACCGTTTGGCCTGGCCCGGCCCGGTTTGGCCCGGAACCGGCCACCGGCGGTTCGGGCTCGGGCCCCCGTTTTTTGGCCCGAGGCCCGGCCGGGCCCAGGCCCGAACCGGGCCCGAACCGGCCCTAGTCCAGCCATATGTTCAGTGGACCGGCGTATAGAAATCTTTTTTATTAATGCAATATGCTGATAAGTTAACAATCTTTATGGATGAGTATTTTGCTACAAATAAGGATGAGTGGATATGCTGGTGCGTGAATTGAAAAGTAAAGGATACAAGGGCATATCTTGGTTCCTCTATCAAATAGATTTCCACTAAGCTATTTTCACCACTACACTTGGTGGCTAGTCTTGATCGCAAGTTCTTTTGTTAAGTTAATGAGAATGAAATAAAATGAAGTAGTACTACATACTGAGAATGAAATGAAATAGTACTAGATAATGAGTATTTTGAAGTGGAACTGGCTAGTCTAGTCTTGATTGTACAAGTCATTTTTCCACTTCCATGTTACAATAAAGAGCAGTCTACAAATAATCAAGGAGAAATAAATGCGTAACATGATACTACAAGTATTTACACTAGAATTTTAAGAATCCATGCAATAAATTGACAGATTTATATGCACGCAGTTGTAACATATCAGAGTCTAAAACGACACTACCTCTATTTTAGGGCTTATAGTTAACGTCAAGACTAATTTAGTTTATAGAATTTTACAATACATATTCCAGTGCTTGAACAAGTCAACAACTACTACGGACTACACTGCAAGACTTGAAGGAAATACCAGATATGGTACCAGGTTCTAATACTCCTCGGATGATGAAACCATCCTGATCACCAGGCGATTAATTAAATGTCATGTTAGTAAGGCAATTGTAGCAATTTAAATAAAACAGAAGCTAGAGAAAAGTCATACACCCTCCACACCCCACAGAAGTCTTAATCTAATCAAAGTACACCTTTTTTAGTAGGATACAACTCTTGGAAACTAAAAGTTCTAGTTACACTATTAAATGTTTTTGTTGATTTTCTTAAATTTTTATGCTGGAAGAACTAGACCGAGACTTGACCCGGACAAGTTACCGGGTCAAGAGTCAATCCAGACCCGAATGGGTGAGCCTGGTCAACTGAGTAACCCGGTCAATGTCCTTTTGAAAATAAAATATAAATATGTAGGGAGTATATTATATACTCCGTATCATACTACAGTTGCAAGGTTAAAAATTATTCTCATTCGTAATTTAATACGGAGTAATAAAGATTATAACAATAGAAAACAAAAATAATGTAACAAAAATAAAGCCTTACCACATTATTCAAACTGTGTTAGGAAATTGGAATTAGATGGCTAGATGCACAATATGTAAACATAATGCTTATATAAAATCTTAAAAATATTGCAGGGTCGCCTGGTTCCAGGTTGACCTGGCTGGTCCCAGGTCTGATTCTTACAACATAGTTAAATTTTCAAAATTTAACTTGTCTGCAATAGTTTCTTAACTAAATAAATGAAAAAACAGTTTCTTTTGTTGAAACTGGAGTCTATTTTGGGGACATAAAATAAGCTTTCAAAGTGGACTCTATTGTAAATTCATTTACAAGCTTGATAAAATGCAATAAAAGTACACTGCCCAACATTGACTGGAAAACGCAAAGAGCTTACCATTATGTTGCTACTCGGATGCCAGTTTCCTCAAGTGTGCAAATAATTAGCAGCCATCATCAATTCCAGAGTGAGTTCAGGCTCTATAGGAAACTCTGTCTCCTTCCCTCTGTAAATAATGAAATATTTTCAGCCCTAACTATAGAGTACCCAGTTTTAAGTTGTGGAAAAGACTTTGAAGGATATAGTAAATTGCACATCCACTTCCGCATGGCAGAAGAGCCAGTTATATTGATAAAAAAGTGGGCTAGTGCAATGTCTATCACGGTGACGGATATATAACAAATCACACAAGAACACATTACTATCTATGGAGACAGCAATAAGAAATTAGTAAAAATAACCATACTAAGTACCCTCTGAGTTTAGGCAGAGATGTCGGTTTCAATTTCAATTAAAAGTAGAGCGTTTTTCCTGATTCAACATACAAATTACCATGTAGGCAAAAGAACCAAGCTACTCAATATAGAGAAAGAAGTCCCACCAAAAAGGCAAAAAGCAGTTGACTTGATTTGAAAAACCTCATGTTGCAAGATTTCTGAACCATAGAGTTTGTAGCAAAAGAAATTATTTGTGTATTCAAATAAGCTTTGGTTAAGTCTTCAATCCATGACCATGAGAGTCAATTGATCAATAAATGAAAGCATCGTGAATTCGTGATGTTACAAATAGACAAATCATTTATGCACGGAGCGTGGGAACTAAACATGGGGAGCATAGGGAAACTCTAAACGCCATTTTCCAAAAGAAAAAAGTGTTTGGAAAGTTTCTAAGGAATTTCCATAGTGTTTCCTAAATGAAAAAAAATACTATATCCGGTAAATTTCCGTTTATGGTTTATGCACCAGAAGAAGTACTGAATCCTCAACACTATTACCCTTCTTCCCAATAGTAATGTTTATAGGTTCTATCTATGGTAATAAGCAATTGGTGATGAAAATCAACAGACCAATTAGAATAATTTTGTACCAATTGGCAAAAATAACATTGTTTGAATGAAGTGTAGATATACACAATACCTTGCATATTGAAGGTGCCAGTAAAAGTACTGGCAGATCTTCTCGAGAATGGTGGTACTGATCTCAGGAAAAGTCACCTCTCGGTGCTCTGTCTCCGCGAAACCCCCTGCAAGAACACACAAATAAACCAACCCCAAACGGCCAAATAAATTACAATAAATTTCTGGAAGGATATCGATGAGCGTGAAATTCCGTAGAACAGTATGCAAGATTGAAACAACAGAAGTCAAATGGAGCATGATAAAGAACAATCGTACCAGGAGAAGTGAGCATGTTGCGGATGGTCTGAGAAACCATAGCAGCCTCCATATCGATCACGAATTCGAATCCCTCGGCGCTGATAAGCTTCACCGTGTCTTCCTTCTTCATTTCCGTTCACCGCAGGTCTGCTTCTAGGGGCTGAGATTTGATTTACCTACTTCTGATCACAGCGTGAGGGGACAAGATCCCGAAACAGAAGAAGCAAAGTAAGACCGGGTCTGCGATGTACGGAGTACTAAACAATATCGGGTTGTCCAGACCGAGCACGAGGGTATCAGGATCCACGCATCCACGGTCGGTTCATTTGCAACCGTGGGCTTTAATAATTACTCCCTCCGTCCCTGAAAGAACTTTCATTTCGTTTATCGAGGATCAACTTATATCACTCTTAAACTCTTATTTTTTATATCAAAATTTTATAAATGTTGAATTATTTTTTGAAGGTTTTGTAGCGGGTTTAATGTAATTTCTGAATATGTAAATTTTATTTACTAAAAATAATCTGAGTTTTCACAGGGATAATTAATTTTATCGTCGTTCAACCTTCGTAATTCGCAATTGGAAGAACATTTAGGGACGAGGGAGTATTAGTTTATTACTCCCTCCATCCCATTTAAAGATTCACATCCATTATTCTCCGGTCAACGTGCATTTTTCTTAATATTTTACTTTATATATCAAAAGTTTATGAAATGAAAATTATTTTTTGCAGGTTTTTAAATATGTAAATTTCATTTATTAAAATTAATTCTATTAGAGAAAAGGATCAGTTAACTTTATGATCAGTCAAACATCATAAATCGTGTGGGAACCTTATGTGGGACAGAGGGAGTACTCCGTATTTAAAATTATTATTAGTTCATCCGTGATTCCACGGTCCAACTAGTACCCCACGCATTCAAATTCTCAATTTAATTAATCCATTATTCCTTCAAAAAATTAGAGTAAATGGTTCGATTAAACTAATTCTTAAACGCACAAATAAGAATATGTTGTTTACTCCGTATTTTTTTAAAATAGTACTCCGTACTAAAGTATACTCTATCTTTTTAATTTATCTTTACCATAATTTAATAGGTTAATCATATTTTAATTTATAACAAAAAATTAACTTACATAAAAAATCGGAAAAAGAATAAATGATTTCTAAAATACTTTTAAAAAATACTAAAATAATAAAAATAAAAATAAATATTATTTAAAAAATAAATAATATTAAAAATAAATAAAAAAAATAGATAAAACACTCTTAAAAACTAAAATAAAAAATATGGAGGCGTTTCCCACAGCCTAAGCCACTACCCGGCAATGTTACCTCCGATTGCATAGAATGCTAAAAATGTCATTTTTCTCTGAAAAGGAAGATCGCATTTCTACTCTTTGAAAATGTCAAACTTTCTCAAAGATTGTCATTAAGATGGCATTTTTAACACATATTGGTATTTGTTTCTAGTGGTCGGAGTTGGTGGTGGTGCGAGGTTGTTGAGGTGACAACATAGGTCTACATATTTTTTATATTTTTTATTTGTTTTATTTTTTTATTTCAGTTTCTTAAGTTTTTTATTTTATTTTTATTTTTATTTAGTTTATTCAATATTTATGTCGTGTTTTTTATCTTTTTAACATTTTTATTATAAACAAAATTATGTTATTACTTTTATGTTTTAAATATTAATGAAATATGAATTCTAATAATAAAAGAAAGCAAGGGTACAATGGGAAAGTTAGTCCTGTTTAGGGAACTTTTAAGTTATGGTCGTATGTTGGCAATTAAGGTATGAGATATTACCCGAAATATCTCATATTAATGTGATTATTCATCTACGCTTAATGATTAATATTTCTGGTCATATGTTGGCAATTATTTTATGAGTGACCGATTCTCATATTAATGATGAATATTTCTTAGGGGCCTAATGTGATTATTCATCTACGCTTAATCGTATTCCTCTAATCCTAGATCTGTTCTTCCTAAAGGTCTTCATGTTACTCATGAATATGTATATGGTGGCACCGTTAGCCTCTCGTCTCTCGAAACACCACCATCGGGTAAAGATTGGAAGTAAGAATGTCGTTGATGTTCATACAATTTAGACAATCTACTGATCAAGATGAATCAATGTCATTGATGTTCATACAATCGAGACAATCTACTAATCAAGATGAATTAGGCGAGGGTGCGACATGACTGGACTTTGATAACTTGTTGCTAATTTGTTACAAATGCAGTCTTTAATTTTTTAGCAAATTCATTTAGTTCAATATTATGAATTATTTTTTGTTTATTTTTATATTTTTTTTAAAATGAAAATCATGGTAAACTATATTATAAATGTACAATAAAAATAAGGAAAAATTGACAAGAATAATCTCACCTTTCACTAGTATTCTCATAATAATCTCACATTTACGTACGTAATCTCAAAATAATCCCACCTTTGCACCCCATTTTCTTTCGTTGGACTCTGATCTATTGATGACCTGCTATACAAGGTTTTTTACCATTTCTTTGAAAACTTTATATAAATAATCTCACATTTAACAAATATGCTCAAAACAGTCTCATGTTTCATTTTTTCTTTTTTCTCCCTAAAATTTATATTTCTTTATTTTCATCCGTAGGCACTTTTTATTCTTTTTTCTATCCTTTTGTTCTAATTTCTTTTCCATTTTTATTATTCTATTTCTTACTCTATTAGGAGATTTTTTTTGTAAAATTTCTTTTCAAAATAGCTCTTTTTTTTTAATTTTTATTTAAAATTTCGTTTTACAAAAAAATGAAATAAAATTACGGAAAGAAAAAGAAAACAACAAAAAGAGATATTTTGAAGAGAAATTTTACAAAAGAAAAACCTCTCCTAATAGAGTGAGAAATAGAATAATAAAAATGGAAAAGAAAGAACAACCAAAGGATAGAAATAGTATTAAAAAATATCTAGGGATGAAAATAAATAAAGAAAAATTTTAGGAGAAAAAAGAAAAAATGAAAAATGAGACTGTTTTGAGCAAAATTGTGAAATGGGAGATTATTGATATAAAGTTTTCAAAAAACGGGTAAAACACCTGGTGTAGTAAGTCATCAACAGGTCAGGGTCCAACGAAAGAAGATGAGGTGCAAAGGTGGGATTATTCTCGGATTACGTAAAAGTGGGATTATTATGAGAGGACCAGTGAAAGGTTTGATTATTCTTGTCCATTTTTCCTAAAAATAACAAATACCAATATATGTTTTAATATGATCAAAATTGTATTTTGGAATATTTGAGTGTTCTAAATACTTAAAAAGTATTATCATTAGTACAGTTGATTCTTATAAATAATAACTACCTTTTATTATAATTTTGTATATAATTATATGTTTATTTATTTTAATATGGTCGTGTAATTGCTGACCGGATTTCTGGTATTGACCAGGTTGACCCACCGGAACCGGGATAACCGGTGACTTGGTAATGTGATCGGATCGCTTCTCGGTCTTGATTTTTAAACATGCGTTGTAGGTTTTACCTTGGTTCATTTTAGTTCGAATATTAGTTGCAAGGAGGTTTTCTTAAAGCTACAAATAAGATGATCAGTTGTGACTTAAGGTTTTCTGTCTTGTGTTTTGTGATTCAATTTGCTCTTTTGTGTGAGGAGAACATTGATTTCAATTGGTTGTAAATTTGTAATCACGTTTAAAATCAATTGATGAATATAAGTGTGGTTACCATAAAACTCTTATTTTTAAATATACTAATTAAACATACATATTAATTGCAATATGTAAAATCTTTTGATAAGTTTTGGAAGAGTTTTTTAAAACTACATTTGCTATTACTTTACGTGCAAACACACATATACATTCATTTTTTAGTGTTTATATATCATAACCGATTACTATTAATGGTTTTTAAACTAATCTTAAAATAGAAAAAAATCATACGTAGTAATTATGTTTCTTATCATTGCTATTACACTGTCATTACTATTTTATTTTATTTCAATTAATATTTTTTGAATAATTATATATGAGGCAAAATTGGAGTGTATATCAAGAATTTAAAATATAAAATAAAAATGTCTTTATAAAATACTCAAAATGATTTTTAGTGTTTGACAGTTTCGCATCAAACAACCAAATAGAAAGTCCTTACCAACACTAAAAATAGTTGTCGAACACAATCGTACGTTTCAACTCAATTAGGTTTCAACCAAATAGTCCTTAGATAAGAGGATCAAGATTCATTGTGTGGCTTTGCGGCTAGGTAGGGTGCCTGGTTAGGTAGAAGAAGTTAAACTAATAATTTCTATTTTGATATTTCAAAAAGGAATTGCCCTAAATGAGGAATAAAAATGGTTAAAACTCCAAAGTAGGAGTATAAGTTTTATATCTCAAACAGGAGTTCAGACTACATTATTACCTTTCTCCCTAAAAACTGTCGATCAACTCTTCCTCATCCTCGATCGCAACCCTAATCCCTCTCCATCGACCGCCATGGATTGCGACTCATCTCCAAATTCGATCACAACCCTTATCCCTCTCCATCGACCGTCATGGATTGCGACTATTCCCCAACCTCGTTTGCAACCCTTACCCATCTTCATCGACCGCCATGGATTGTGACTATTCCCCAACCTCGATCACAACCCTTATCCCTCTCCATCGACCGTCATGGATTGCGACTCTTCCCCTTCGACTTTCCCTTTGGCCGCAACTTCTCCACCGTCGACCACCAATTCCTCTTATCGCAACTTATTCGTCATTGATCTTCTTCTTCTTCCTCTTCCTCCTCTTCCTCTTCCACCCCCTCCCCCTCTCCTTCTCCTCCCCTTCATCTTCCTCCTCCTCCTCACCCCTTCCTCCTTGTTCTCCTTCTTGTATGTCAGTACCTTTCTCAACATGGCAATCTCAGTTTGAAATTACGGTATTTGAAGTGTCATATTGAGAATGTCATGTGTACATATGAAAATGTCATTATTGTGTCATTATGTATATAAAATGGCATTCTCGATGAAGGTTACAAGTACTTGCTGGAGAGCGGTGGCTTCGTCGGAAGATGGTGGCAGCGAACTCACTGAAGGGTGGTGGACGCGGCAGACTTGTTGGAGGATACACGGTTGCGGCACACACCTGGAGGTGGTGGCGATGGCTAAATAATGTTAAGACAATTCATTAACACTGTTTTGTCCAAACACAAATATTTACTTCTATTTGGGAAATTTAAAATAGATTTTGTTTTTGCATTTAACTCATGTTTTACTCCTATTTTTGGAATTTTTCTATTTCAAATGAATATCGAATTCTCACTCCAGAAACAAATGTTTATACGGGAGTATCGTTTAAAGACATTCGATATATAGCATTTGTTTAAGAGATTTTTTTCTTTGATGTAACCAAATAAGCTATATATCTATGGTGATGTATATGATGATGTAACCAAATAGGCTATATATTTTTTTACACAAACTATTGACATAAATTTCACTGTACTCAAATATTCCTTTAATTTATTCTCTTTCATCATACCTATTAGAGCATCTCCAACCCATAAGGTGGATTGGTGCTTTATGTGACAATTGAATGGAGAAAGTCTATTTAGAAAAGTGGGTCCATTATTTTAAAAAAGAGAAGGTCTATTACACACCCTCCGGTGCGGAACATTAAAGCAAGTAAAAAGACAAAAGAAAAAAATAGAAAACAAAGAGTAAAGTAAATGGGAGGATCTTCATGCAAATAAGCCCACATTTCCTCTCTTGCTTTTGTCAGAAGGTGGCACCTTCGGTCCATATATGGGCCTTCCCTTAGACTACGGTCCATTTTTTTTAATGCCACATCAGCTGCAAGTCCATTTTATTTTGCATTGGAGTAGATAATTGCATTTAGTAAGTGCATTTGTTAAGGTGGAACCACAATCCACCCCAGCATTGGAGTTGGTTTTAAGGTGGAACCACAACCCACCCCAGCATTGGAGTTGGTTTTAGAGTTATGCCATCAAGTATTCAAGTCTAAAACTCTGAATCAGTGTAAAAAGAAACTTCTGCCTTAGAGCAACTCCAATGGGTGGAGTGCATTGCTGCAAACGTGGCAATGAAATGGAGTGAGTCTATCCCAAATGTGGACCAATTGTCTAATAAATGAAAGGGTCCATCCCAATTGCTCTCCAATGCTAACCAAAAAGCACTTCGTAAATGAAAACTCAAAGATGAAAGAGAAAGCCAAGTAACACTATGGAGGTGAGACCGATGGTCTACAAATGGACCTCCTGCAAGACCCCATGTCCATTTTATGATTGCCAAGTCACCTTGACTAGACTCATATTTTTTGCATTGGAAACTAGATTAATAAATAGAGGGTCCATTAGCTTATGTGGAATGCACTTCAAGAGCAATCCATCTCCACATTGGAGATGCTCTTAGAGCCCAATCGACCAAAGAAGCAAAAAGAAAATCACTGGAGTACTACGGAGGTAAAAAAGAAAAGAAAAATAGAGGGAAGTTTCTTGGTGGGGGATTGGGGACAAATTTAAAATCTTGGCTAACCCTGCATTTTAAATGAAACAACAGATTAGGAATTCCAACTTCTCCTTAGCAAAGGAGTGGTTCTGGACTTCTGGAAAAGACTGTCGAGAAAAGATGAGATTCCGATGAACTCTTCCAAGTATAGTCGCGAGAGAGATTCATTTTGTTCTTTGCAACTTAGAGAGGAGACGAGGAATAAGAGGGGATGGCGCAGAGCGGGAAGGGAATAGAGCCTGCAGTCGTGGATGACATAATCAAGCGATTGTTGGACTTCAGGATAGCCAGGACCCCACGCCAAGTTAAACTCTCCGAAGCTGAGATCCGCTCTATCTGTAACGCTGCTAGAGAAATTTTCCTTCAGCAGCCCAATCTTCTGGAGCTTGAAGCTCCAATCAAGATCTGCGGTACTCCCCATCCATCTATCTCTCTTTTTAAAAAAGCTTTCACTTTTTTTGTGGATATCATCCCTGTGTCTGTGCCGCTGCTCTGTTTAGACGAAATCAATGCTGCTATGTTTTCACGTTTATCTGATATACTATATGGAAGGTGGTAAATGTGCTGGGTTTGACGCCATTGGTAGGTGATAACAAAGGGAAGACACTATTTTAGAGTGTCCATGAGTATATTGAAACAAAAAATAATGTCTTAGAATATGATCAATGGTGTTTTATGGAATTTAGGGTTTAGGCCTTACCTCTTGATTTTATGTTAATTATTTAGATTTTTTATTTGTTTTTCTTAATAGCTTTTTCAAAATCTGAGTGAATGGAATCTTTACATTTATCAGGAATCAGGCTTCAAAGCTCATTTGTAACACTTCAAATATGCAAAGTGGGTGAGTGGGATACATATAAAAATGCTTTAGTTGCCTTTGGTAAAAAAGCAAAGTTCTTAAAACTCTAGTGATTATGTATATGAGGCGTAAGCTTTAACTTTTATACTCCGTACTAAACTTCCTTAAAGATTTAAATTTGCTAGCAATGGAGAGTAAATCATTTATCATACGTAAAAATAGGTCATAAACATGTGTTTAAGTCTTCAAAAGAGAGTTTTTATGTTTTTTATCGGATCTAATAATAACAGAAGAATATGTTAAAATAAGAAAAGTGGAGATGAAATGGATGAATTGGAGCAATTTGAATAAAAAGAAACAATTTTTAACTTTTGGATGTATTTGAACTTTGTTGGAAAGAAGAGGACAGAAGAATATTTGGCAAATAGATTCAAGGTATTCTAGACAGAATTTACTCCCCTAGGCCTAATTAAGTCACAACATGGTGCTGAAGTAAATCTGCCTCAAAAAACGCCTTGAGGCACAACTCAAGGAGTAAGCCTCAAATGTTTGAGGCATAAGCGTCTTGACTTGTAATCGGGGAGTAAGCCGCTTAAGTGCTTTTTCAAACCATAATGTTGGGTTATAATCACAACACATAGTTTGGCACGAAAACATAGAATTTATGATAGCTTTTGTTTTTCCAACATTTCTCTTGTAATAACACCCGAATAGTATGTAGAGAGACAAAAAGGTGAAACAATAGTCAATAATAACAACTGTCAGCCACCACTGTTTTTACAGTAAAGTTCTGCTAAGAAACTAAATTTGGTTGGGAATAGAAGGTTTTCAAGTGGGTGCCAACATTAATGTTCTCTGCCTTCTCCGTGATGTAAAACAGTAGTTTTTAGTTTCTCGTTCAAGAATAAATTCAGAGGAGTATCAATAGGAATTAATGATTTTCATTTTGGTTTTTATAGCATTCATGTTGCCATTCATATTTAGCGGGGTTCCCCTGAAGAAGACAAATAACGAAACAAGAGGATTTAAATAAGGTTGAGGTACTACAAAATGAAAAAAAAAATATGGTGGCCATGTGATCCATTGCCGATGGAAGAGAAAAATCTAGAAAGTTAAACAGAGAGGAAGAGATATAGAGTGGTATGCTGTTGAGTGTTTTTAGAAGAAAAAGTAGCATATGGGTATTAAATTATTTTGTAGATTCAACATAATTGCAAGACTTCCATTTTGGATACTATAATATGGCCAAGATGCAAGGAATACCCTAACCTACATCATAATTCAAATTGCTTTTTGAATCTGCAAAATTGAAAAAGATGAAAGTGTTGCAACTATTAAAGAACTGAGGGGTAAGGAAGTATTTCCTCCATTCCTTTGTATAGTAACAATTTCCTTTTTGGTTTGTTCACAATTTTGTATACTTTCCCTTTTCACCCCCCCCCCCCTAGCGTTCTATTTTTTCAATTTTTCTTTTGAAGATTTGACATATTGTACAACTTTTTATATTGTTTACACCCCTTTGAGAGGAGGGTAAACATGGAAAATTGATTCACTACGACTGGTGTTTAGACACCTCTTTTTCTTTTTCCTCTAACTTTTTGCAAATGAATGGATGATGTCCATATTCCTTACCATGAAAGAGGAAATTTGGGAATGTTTCTTACATCACAAATTGCCTAAAAACCTTCCGAGATGGTTAACGGATGTGGAATGATAGTGGGGGCGGTTTGGACGCATCAACTTCTATTAACACTCTTATCTGTGCAAAAAGTAACTGGGACCTATAATTTAGATGGATGGAGTATCTGATTATACATTATATTACATGATTTTACAGTCTACCAAACTACACCATAGTGTTTTGTGAGGGTAACTGAAATAAAAGTATAAAACATGCTGATTTTACTTGCTGTTGATCTGGCTTATAGGCGACATTCATGGGCAATATGGTGATCTTTTGAGGCTCCTAGAGTATGGTGGATTTCCTCCTGAGGCCAATTATTTGTTCTTAGGGGACTATGTCGACCGTGGCAAACACAGTTTGGAAACAATGTGCCTTTTGCTTGCATACAAAATCAAATACCCTGAAAACCTCTTCCTTTTAAGAGGGAACCATGAGAGTGCTTCAATTAATAGGATATATGGGTTCTACGATGAATGCAAACGCAGATTTAATGTGAGACTATGGAAAACATTCACTGAGTGTTTCAATTGTCTTCCTGTGGCTGCTCTCATAGATGATAAGATACTTTGCATGCATGGCGGTCTTTCTCCTGACCTAACAAATTTAGATCAAATTAGGAACTTACCTCGCCCCTCTGATGTTCCAGATGCTGGATTGGTTTGTGATTTGCTTTGGTCCGATCCAAGTAGGGAAACTAAAGGCTGGGGAATGAATGATAGAGGAGTTTCGTACACTTTTGGTGCTGATAAGGTAGCAGAATTCTTAATGCAGCATGATATGGACCTAGTTTGTCGTGCACACCAGGTATGTAGTAAATGTATGCAGTACACTTCATTTGTCCTTTTCTTCTTTTATCCATAACATTAACTAATTTACATCCTGAGAAAGAGTCTGATTCGAAAGTTTTTTATTTTTGGCCCAAAATAGAGTCACCTTTTGAACAAAAGAATCTAACTTTTATTAAATTTAGAGCTTGTTTGGTAGTCTTTAGTAATATTATTATCAGAATAATTACTAGCTTTTCAATTGCTTATTTGGCTAAAATGTTTTTTACCAAATGCTATTCTTTTCAGAAAATTCATGAAATTCAGCTATATAAGGTGAACAACCCTTAGCATATACAATCATAATGTAATTTTGTATATAAAATATCACAATCGCATTATATGTTGTATGCTAAAGTTAAACTAATAAAACACTAAAAATATTAGTAGTTTGGTGATTTCAAAGAGTTGTCAAATATGCCATATTTTGTTTAACTAACAAATTTACAAATATAATTAAAAATATAGCTAGGATTGGTGGTTTCAAAGATTTGTTCCTTACCAAAGATAACAGGTTGTGTCTTGATAAAACATGAATACATGACTCTGAGTCTCTGACTGAAGAAATGTTGTAGCATAATCTCTTTTTTTGTAGGTCGTGGAAGATGGCTACGAATTTTTTGCTGAGAGGCAACTAGTAACAATATTTTCTGCTCCCAATTATTGTGGTGAATTTGATAATGCTGGCGCAATGATGAGCGTTGATGAAAGTCTTATGTGCTCTTTCCAGATTTTGAAGCCGACAAATAAGAGGGTTGGGTTTTTGTAGTACTAATATTTGATCAGAAGTGTCGTAATCTTCTTGGACAAGACTAGGTAAGCCTAAGGTGACATCTTTGCGGAACATTGTGTACTTCACACCATAGATTTGTTTCTAGGCTGAAATTGATTTTGAAATTTTGGATTTAGGCCCTATTCTCTTTTCCTGCAAAAACATGTTCTGATCTGATTTTGTAACATTTAGTTTGATCTGATCTAAATGTTTTTTATGTGGTATGGTCTCTTTTGGTCTAGTATATCCTAACAGTTCCTTAGCTTGTCCACTTGCCTGAAGTATAACATCTAGTCTTTTCTGGTTTGAACTTTTTTAAGCTGATCTCATTAAAATAAGAACAAGTAATTAGCAAAAAATTATTAAGGTGAAGAGATTAGCACATTTCAGCTTGCTATTTTTTAGAGTGCATTCCCTTATATGTATCGTGGAGTTGGTGGATAGCTTTTAAGTTTAACACATTCTTTCTTGAAGTTACTTTGTTTTCTTAACAGCAGGTTTTTATGCAGATTATGAAAGATATATTCAAATTTATGCAAGTAGCAACACAAATGAAAATGGAAAACAGTGCAACATTCACAATTGATTGTTGAAGGAAATTGTTAACTGTCAATTCATCTTATGCTTGAGAGAGTTTGTGGTGGAAATTTGAAAGTAACTCTCATATGTGGATGCTGTAGAAGCTGGGGGGCAATCTTGTAATGATTTTTGACTTACAAAGTTACAGTATACTATTTAACCATGTACAAATAGATTTGGTTTGTGAAATGCTAAATATTAACATTATTGAAGGTTTAAGTTTTTATTTGTGGTCTCAGTGTGCCTGCTATATAATACGGAGTACAAATTTTTTTAGTAACTTTATTTTTCTTATCTTTCTTTTCTTTTTGACTCTAATACCATGAATCAATTCATGTTAGCTGACTCCAAAATCTTTTGGGAATAATAAGGCTTTAAAGTTGTTGTTTCCTTACACTTTGACCTGCTTCAAATCTCTTGGCAAGCTGTTCAAGTGTAATGCTCTATGTTATATTCTATCCACCATCATTTGAATCATCATTTGAATCCTGCTCCTCCCAGTCTTGTTTATCCCCATATTCTGAAACATAAGCTCTTTGTATGAAAGAGCTGAGTAGATACCAGTCCAATGGTACAAGTGTGTAAATTACCTTAAAAATGAGGTTATATTTTTATCATCACCTTCACCATTATTAGTAGAGTGGGTCGGACATGTTAATTGAAGTTGCACTGGAATTTGATATATGACCTGGACAGATACCAATTACTAAAAATAAATCACCTCACATTACAAGAAAAACTCAATTCATTTCATTATTAATAATGTGTAGGATACACCGTGGAACAAAAGGGAAAATTCTGCTAGGAACGTGATTAGTAGCTACCTTACCCAAGACGTGAGTGCTACTATTCACTTGTCGTTTAGTAAAAATAACTCTAAAGTTGTTTGAAGCTAAAAGTATTTTGTAATCTTCCACCAATGACCCATATTCGGTCCGATTAGGACGGTTAAGGCACTCATCTTCTACAAGCTCTTACAATCAGATTCAAACAGAACATGCTTGTATCGAGTACTAGCCATCCATTTAATAGCTTCTCTAAGGCCTCATGCTTCCGCCTCTGCTGGACACAAATCTGATGTACATATACCTGTTTTAGCCATACAAAACCGCCCTTGATAATCCCGAACACATGCCCCGAAGCCAACTCGCTTCTCATTTGCCAAAAGAACGACATCGACATTACACTTCAACATATAGAAATTGCCCTGTTTAAAATTCCAAGGTAGAATTGTCATGTTTAAAACCTGGTAATGCCAAAAACCCGACCATTTGATATAGATTGATCTTATGAATGTGTATTTATGTTTTAGAAAAATGAATGTGTATTTATGGAGAAGCGGGTAGAAGATAACGAGGAGAGAATGAGAGAGTTACGAATGGACGTCTAAGAACCACTCGCATCTGCCAAATTACCGAGTTGCCTATATTTGATCAGTTATATTGCACAGAAACGTGGAAAACATGATGAAACTAGACACAAGAGTGTCATTTTTATTAGAAAAATAACGTTTAAATTGGAGAGTATAAAAAAATTTTTGAAATGGAAACTTATTCTTTCTCGAAAGTTCCTATACGCATATCAGTGATAAGTCATTCAAGTTGAATGTCTCTCGCCGCATTCCATTGACCACCAATGGCTCTATGCATTTTCACCAATGTCTCTTCCGAGCATAGTCTTCAGCCTAATTAGTTGCTTACCCGAACTGAATCTTTCTCCAATTAAAAACCTTAAACCAATGAGTCATACAACCTGATTTTCTGTAGTTGAAACTTACTACAATTCAACATGTTTTTAATGAATAAATGAATACATTATACAATTTAGTGTTCTCGATCATTGTCCCAACATTTATTCTCGATTTGGCTCGACCCGTTTATTAATACGGAGTATAAGCAAAAGTATATGGTTGAGGAAATAATTACAAATATAGTTGAATTTAGTTGAATTTTGGTGTAGAGGGATTAGTAAAACGAGGACATGTGATGGCGGAGTGGCCAGGAGAATAACACAATTGACATACAACAGGTGGAGGAGGATTGTGATAATTATTCTCAACAGGAGGAAATCCTGCAATAGATGGGTGAGTAACACAAGTAGATAAAGCATTAATACAAGGTAAAACAGACCCAAAATTACTAAATGCCATACCTGGAAATCCAGCCGGTGCATGACCCCGAGGAGGTCCCTGCTGCCACCCCTGCTGGCCGTGAGCTGGAGGAGCCTGCTGCCCCCCATAAGCAGCCCCCTGCTGGCTGCCATATCCAGGCCCCTGCTGGGCACCATAGCCTCTACCGCGACCTCGGGTGCCACGGCCGCAACTTCCACGATAGCCTCGTCCACCGTTCCCACGCGATGGACCACCCCCTCGAACTGGAGGGCGAACTGCAGCGGCCTGCTCCTGAGCGACAAATGCTTGATGGCCGGGATGAAGATTCTGGGAACGAAGGTAAAGGACACGCTGCTCAAGTGCCATTAATTGTGGGCGCAAAGAATCAAAAGTGAAGCTGTCCGGGAATAGCGTGACCGAAGTAATAACAGACTCATATTCATGTCCCAAGCCTTGAACCGTGGCTTGAAGAAGTTCACGGTTGTTAACCGAGGAATTAATAGAGTTTAATGAATCTGTCAAGACAATAATCTCATGCAAGTAATCATCCATAGATTGATCCTCCTTTTTCTTAAGATTATTTAAAATGCGTTTGAGTTCCATTGAACGAGCCACACAAGCCGCCATAAATCTAGTCTCTAGACGTTCCCAAATTAAGGCAGAAAACCGGAGACTATGAACTTCCATTAAAATATTGCGTGAAAGTGTGGCAAATAACCATGATCTAACAGTTTGATCAATCTTAAGCCAAGAATGATAATCAGGATTAGGAGCTTCATGATTAACGGTATCCATAATAAATTGGGACGGGGCAGGGATGGAGCCATTGATAATACCCAATAAACCATGAGATACCAAAAAAGACTCTACTTGAGTTCTCCACGGCAAGTAATCTTCCACCGTACCCAACCGGGTGGCAACGATATTAGTAATGTTTGGCATAGAGAACGTTAACTGTGACGCTATAGTGGACAGAGGAGTAGAGTTTACCGAAGTAATAGGCTGCCGCGACGTGGAAGGGGCATCAACGAAGGACGTACCCGGTTGGCCGTTGAAGGTAGGACCGGTGAAAGCAGTGTGCAGCGGGGCAATAGGTGCGGACAGAGACGTGGCAGAAGGCAGAGCCGGTGTCGTCGTTGATACTGCAGGTGTCCATGTGAAAGGGTCTGGCATGTTGAAAAGCCGGTAAGACCCGATCGGTGGAGGCGGCAGATGCATCCGAGAGGAGGAAGAGAGATGCGGTGAGAGAGTGACGCCTGAGGAAGAGAGCTGCTCCATTCGGCTGGGCGCTGGTGGCTGGCCACTGGTAGGGGTGGGTTCGGTTCTTTCGGTTCGGTTTTGACCTAAAACCAAATACGGAATCAAAGTAAAAGTTCGGTTCGGTTTCGGTTCGGTTTTAGACTCCAAAACTTGGAACCACGGTTTGTTCGGTTCGGTTTATTTCGGTTCGGTTTCGGTTTTTTCGGTTTTTTACTAAAAATTTGTCATTTGATTTTCGGATCAAACATACTGCATAAAAATGCAAGCATACTTGAATAAATAAAGAAAATAATAATAAACAAATATGTCTTGAATTATATGAGTATGCGGGGGAGATAAAAGTGTATATATATCTTCATTTACATTATTTGTGACTAGTTTGCAAAAAAGTTTATGAATACATACATCCTGTGTGATATAGCTGAGATGAAGATTTATTTGTTTGATCAATATAAAAAATGTAAGTTACAAAAAAATTAGATTACATAAAAATAAAAGTTAATTACTACTAATAACTAGTAAAAACATATAATCATGCAATAAATTGCAACATACATACATAGAAGACATAATAGATCAATATAACTACATTATTATGGGCAATGAATGTGTAAATGCATTTATAAACTAAACTAAACCAAACATAGCACAAGAATTATTTCTCTAGCACAAAAAATTCAAAGATTATTGACGATATCAAGATTAATGCTTACATTTAACAAATAAAATTTCATATTTTATTTTAGTTTGGTTTCTTCGGTTCGATTCGGTTTTGAAGGGTAAAAACCAAAACCGAACCAAACTACTACGGTTCGGTTCGGTTTTTTACATTCGGTTTCGGTTTTTTAGCGGTTCGGTTTTATTTGGTCGCGGTTCGGTTTAATTTGATTCGGTTTTCGGTTTTCGGTTTTTCGGACCCAGCCCTAGCCACTGGTCTGGAGAGCCGCGCTGATGAGCGGCGGCGTGGTGGTAGAGTTCGGCTGCACCGAGTTTGTGGGCGCCGTTGAAAGAGAGGAAGACGTCGACATATGTGCTAGGGTTGGAAAGCCTAGGCCTCTGATACCATGTGAGAGAATAATTGTGGAATAATAGCTTACCCATTAGGGAGCCCTAGCATTGTATTTATAATAACAAGGAGTGAGAGTAATTACACACAAGTCCCTATAATTACACTATTATATATTACTGAAATAATAAAGGTAGTGGAGAAAATGTAACTTTTATATTTTTAGTGAATATAATAATAATTTTAGTGTACATGATTATGTTTAATTTTACACAACAGGTGACGAAATACTCATAGTAACTTCTGTCACATTTTCCAACATCTTTTATTTATTGCAATAGTATCTATGGAAAAACTTCACTTTTTACTGTCAGTGTTTTTATAATAATCAAATGTAAGGAACAAAAAATTCACACATATGTAAAGTACATGTAAAAGTGCAAACATGTTGTCTTGCACCTTTTCTAGAAACACATTGTTGTATCACATAACTTGAAACTTAGAGAGTGTTTTGTACGATAGTATTTACTTTAACGTTTGAGGTATGATTGATTTTAGAGATCATATGTAAATTGATTCATTCCAAAAGTTGATGGCATTGAAAAGAAAAATGAGAAAGTGATAAATAGTTTTATACACATGCATGTAGCACATCCCATGCTTTCGATTTTTTTCTTTGAATTTTTCACTTTTAACGGAAGATCAACTTAAAAACATTGCTCTTATTATTACTTGTATTTTTTTAATTTAAAAAGCTGAAAAGTAGGGCTTAAACAGTTATATACAGACTATACGGTTAACCTCAAAATAACTGCCACATTGCCAGAATTTCGTTCATTTATCAGTTTCTACCTATAGGCTTTGTTAGTTTATTCGCGTATAATTCGCGTGTAATACACTCAAACGTATATTTCACGTATAATACTTCCGTTTATGAATTTTTCAAAAAAATCGGAAAAGTTCGCGTACTTTAAGGATAAAATGTATAATACACGTACCGTACGTATTAATACGTATTTTATTCCCGTATAATACTCTCGTTTATGAATTTTTCAGAAAATTCTAAAAACCTCACGGGCTTTAAGTATAATACACGTACTGTATGTATTGATACATGTTTTATTCAAAAACACACACCATTAAACGGAAGCCTAATGTAGTGATACAACTAAAATGAAATGTTTAGATGCTCAATATTTTTTATATTGCTTAAAAATGTATGCCTTATATGTTCGTTAATTGTGTAATAGTCATTACATATTTACATTTAATAAATTAGGTTAATTAGCGTCTTAAATTCGTAATACATTTCGATATTACTATTGTACTACTACTGTATTACTTTTGTTCTCCACCCATATCAAGACTCTAAAGAAATCGAAAAATGTTGTGGCGGCTCACCAAAAACTCATGGTCACAGTAATATCAACTATTCTCTAATGATATCTTTCTACTTCTACTCAAGTAGGCAACGTCATTTTTATTATTTATTGTACTTATGTGTTCAAATCCGTATATATGAAAAAACTATTTCTTACATTTTAAATTATTGAAGAATGTGGTGCAAATGTTAAATAACTCTTTATTTCTATCATTAAATTAGTATATAAGGCACATATTATATGCCGTATTTTTAAATTGTGAAACGTTTAAAATACGTCCGTATCCTTATATATTTCACGAACGTATGAAACATATATTAACCCGTATTTTATATAATTATATCGTATTATACACAAACGTACGTATTATTGTATTATTCACGAACCCTTTATTACTGACGAAGCCTATAGGTAATAGTAATACCGAGTCCGAGTATATAAAGCGCGTAATTTGAAAGGCTCTACAGTATTTTATACTCCGTCCCTATTTATTGACAGATAAAATTCAAACAGGCTCAAGTATACCACTCCGTCAACCCAAAAAAAACATACGGACTATGAAACGGTAAAATCGCCTGAACGGTTGTTTCCGGCGAAGTCAGGATGGAGCTTCTGAACTCATCACCTCCTTCGCTCCCAAAACCAACTGGTAATACACATTTATGCTCTGGGCCGTCGAATTTCAGGCGCGGATCTTACCACAATGAGGTGCCGGCCTTCCCACAGTTGCCGGAAATTGCTGAGGAAGCCGGCTGTAAAGTGCACGTGGCTGTGGGGAAGAAGAAAACGGACAAGGCTGTATCTCTGATTCAGTGGGTTTGTAGGAATTTCGGGAACTCTGAGATTTGCATCCTTCATGTTCATCAACCTTCTCCTTTCATTCCCACTCTATGTAAGTTTATTATGTAGCAAGTTTTGTCAGCCAGTCCTGCAATTTTTATGCGATTTTCACTATGAGCCATCCCTAAACCGTCTCTTTGAAGTGCATCCATCTTACCCCCTTACCCCGATGGGAGCCTTTGCAGCAATGGAGTTTTTGCTATGGGGGTGTTTGGAACTGATTCTGCTTCTGCTTCTTTTTTAAAAGCAGAAGCAGAATCAGAGTCAGTTTTCAGAAGCTGGTACCCCCAGCTTCTAAAAAAACTGATTCTGAGAGTAAATTAGAGCTCCAGAAGTGCTTCTGGAATTTCACCCAAACACTCCAGCTTCTGCTTCTGCTCCCTGAAGGAGCAGAATCAGTTTTGAGAATCAGATCCAAACACCCCCTATGATGACTTTAATTTCCTTATTGAGAAGTTACTCTAGAAAATGTTTTGATTTGCTTATTATGGGGTAGTATAGAATATAGCATATAGGTCCTGTGGCCTGGAAGAAATTCTCTAAATGTTCTGCACTTCTGGAAAGGTTGCATTTTTTAAAAAAAATATTTTTATGCTAATAGTCTAATACATGGTTATACGGTTATACCTGCATCAATCATTGACTTCCTTTCAGCTCACTGCTTTTCTGTTGGTAAGAGCTTATACAATTTAAAGGAGTGTTTGAAATTTGGCTTACGTTTTGTTGTTGCTCAAATTAACGCCCAGTGGGAAGACTACCAGCATGCCAAGCTAATCCAGAAGTGGTGTCTGCTTTCAGGAATGAAGAGAGGGAATTGATGAGGAAACTTGTTAATGGTTACTTAAGTATATGTTGCAGATTGAAGGTAAGCAGTATGCACCCTCTTTAATGTCTTTGTTTGATCTTTACCATGCTACAAGTTTGTCTGTAATTCCTTTTCGGCAACTTCTTATGTCCAGAGGAAATGAAATTAATGATTCTTAAGATATAGGCAAGTGTGTACTCAGCCCCCCCCCCCCAGTTATGGGAGTTGGCGTATATAATCCTTGTGTAATTATAGAAGTCGCGTAAATGATCCTTGACCCTCACTAAGTCACGGGAGTGGTGACCATTGAAGCCACATTACTAATGACTCTGGGATTACATATTTTAGATCCACTTTCCGTAAGAGTAGATGACTGATAGCAACAGTTTGAATAATTGATTGGGAAGACAAGATAAAGGAGAATTCTTGATATAAAATGTTTAGATTGCTCATAATTATTCACGGTGTTTATGAATTATAAGCATGTAATCAGAGTATCAGACTAAAGTGTTCTTACGTTCTTTAGATTCACTTGATAATTTGATTATGAATGCATTTACTGTTAACCATCTACAATGGGTATGATGTTCTTACATTCTTCTCTAAAGCTTAGCTTGTGGGTATATGTTCTCGTACCAGTGAACGTTTTCTGAATTGCTGATTGTCCCCTATTAGGTATTTCACTAAACTCACTATTCATTGATACTTGGATTTAATATTCTATATTTAAGGAGAATCATGCTGCTTTGACCCTAAAAAATAACTAATTGAGTAGTAAAGTTGGTCATTTATGATTGAGTTTGCAGTTTTTGTCGTTAATTCTGCCAAATTTGCGTAGCAAATTATCAATCGGTGCACTGGTTCATCTCTGGGAGGTAGCAGAAATATCTGTTTTTAAAAACAAACTGCGACCACTTATTTATTTATTTATTTATTTATTTATCTATTTTTATTCATTTATTTTTATTTATTTATTGATTTATTTACTTACTACCTCTGTATTTTTTTGTTTGCAACATTAGGTTTTGGCACAAGTTTTAAGGGAAAATTAGTAGGGTAGTGTAAAGTGATAGTAGGAAAGAGATGTTAAAGTTATAAAGCAAGTGAGAGAAGGTAATTAAAGGTAAAAGGTAAGGGTGTTTAGGTATTTTGATACATAACACTTTCCATAAAAGGGAAAAGTTGCGAAGGGAAAAGTTTAGATTAAAATAGTGTATGTAGCTTAGAGCAACATATTTGTTCCTATGCACACAACCACACACACATACTTTTTTGGTACCACGAGAAAATTACATGCATACAAATATTTTGGTCATGCCACTTTTTTGTTCAACCAAATTGTTACTACCAAAATGCTCCTACTTTTTTCATTATTAAGACGTCATTCAAGTACTATGTGGCAAGTCCTAGTCTAGATGAGTTGGAAAGTGCAATTCTCCCTTTAGATCAAAAGTTGCTTTTTAAGAAGTGGTAGCCTGGCAGGTGTAGTCTATCTGGCTTTCATCTAAGGGTCAGTTGGGATGGAACTTTGAAGGGCAAAGTCTATATCTTGGTGTATATTTAAGATTTTAAAGTTGATGGAATTAGATATTAGGTGATCATATAGCATTTCAATCACCCTTATTTGTTTGAAGAAGCATTCTATTTATCAAGATATAGACTACGCATTCCCTTCTAAAGTCCTCCATCCAAACTGAAGTTTCTACCAAGTTTTCAGTGTATGGTGCTGCTTCACATATGGGTTTTCCATGAATTTTGCAGGTCAAGGCAAGCATTATTACTCTTGAAGCTGATCAAATTAAAAAAGGATTAGTTGATATGGTAAATGAACATAAAATTAGGAAGCTAGTAATCGGAGCTATTCCAGAGTGAGTGTGCCCTTTAATATCACTTGCTTCTGCTTTTGTTAATTTTCCTGCTGCTATTGATGATGATGCTGTTGTTGTTCTTATTCTTATTATTATTATTACTACTACAGTACTACTACCTTTGTCCGTTTTTATCTCCACTCTTTCCTTTATCTTCTGTCCCGAATATCTTGTTTTTTCTATCAAGGAAAGGATGTTGTGGTTTATCATTTCACCTCTAATAAACAAGTTTTAACAACAGAATTTTTACTTAGTTAAAAACTGTGTTAAAACAAAATATGAGATAAAAAGTGATGGAGTCTATATCATCATAATTATTTTTATCTCAACTTTCTCAATCAACCAAATTTAGTTCCCAGTAGAGTCATGATGCTGAAGATGAAATATCTTGCAAATTGAGAAACTGATGTCAGTGGCACGCGTAAATATCTTTAAAACTTGTCTGTTGCTACATAAATTGCAAATTCATATAAAGCCAGATTATTCCTATATTTACCGTTTTGAACTTTTATAAATAGTTGCAGGAAGGAAAAACGGAGCTCTAGGAAAGCAAGTTATGTTGAGCAGAATGCTCCATCATTCTGTGAGATAATATTTGTCAACAAAGGAAAACTAGTTTTTACCAGACAGGCTACGGGGTTCAATTCAAACTCTGTAGTAGCTCAAAGTCCTGTTTGTCTCCCACTGCCAGATTCGAATTCAGCATTTGAAGAGGAAAGCCTATCTGGACAGCTTAGAGAAACTGACTTAGAATCTGAGTCATCAAGAAATGAAGTGATTGCAGATATTTTTAAGTGTAATAGATTGGAAGCTGAAGCTGCAGAAACCATGAAGGTAAAAGAACTATAGTTTTGAAAGGAATAGTGTGTATTTAGAATGTGATAATAATCTTAAAGTGCCAGTGTTAAATAATTTGCTCATTAATAATCAAGCATCCTAAGGAAATGCTTTTTTTCGTTGAAAGGTCATAGTTTGATACATTTGTTGTCATCAAATAGTTGTTTTTTTGGACAGAGGTAGTTAGATATAGCAAAGGTGAGTTTGATGCAACCTTCTGTTTCTTTTGATAGAAATGCATAAGAGATAAAAGTTCTATACTTCTATATATTTCTTTTATTATGGAAGGTCACTGCTGAGATAGGTGAGTTTGATGCAGCCTTATGTTACTCTTTGATAAAAATACATAATGGATAAAAGTTCTATATATATCTTTTATTATGGAAGCTCACTGCTGAGGTAGTGTCTTGAATGTCGACTGGTGACTGTATTTCATTTTATGTGGTCTGTTATCTGGCATCATTGTTTCTGTCTAATAATACTGATTACTGTATAGTTGGAACAAAATTGTGAACTTGCTCAGGCATGTTTATGGCTATCTTTAGATACACAATTCTATACATGCTCTTTTGTAGTCCCTAGAAATACAATGACATTCATATCAAGATGATTCTTCGTTGTCTTGGTGTAATAGCATTCATCTAGCATATGTTTGGATGAAGTACAATACTACAGACAGGGAAAAGACTTGAAAAAGAATTGTTTTCTTATGCTAGGTTTTACCTTGGAAAATGTTATGGAAATTGAAATATGATGAGTTGCTTACTTTCTTTTCACATATACGTAGTATTTAGTTTCTTTAGTCTCTATATACTCTGTAGTAGATACATTAATGTTTTAGAATGGTTAATTTAGTCTATCTTTCCTTCTAATGTTTCTCTATGTTTTCCTTCCTATTTTCTTTATCTAGTATTTTCCTTAATGTTTTAGAATGGTTAATTTCTTTGCTTTAATTTAAAAAACTAATATGATGATACAAATGCTTATATCTCAGACCAAAACATGGGAATGTGCTCATGTGCGTGAAATTGCTCTCAGGAAAGAAGCTGAGTTGTCTCATAGAACTATGATAGAGGAACAAGATAAGGATTTGAAAGAGAAGGAAGAGATGACGCACAAGCTAAATATGACCATGAGAAGTATAGCTATCTTAGACACTCATGGACTGGAAACTAACTGTATGTACAAAGATATTGCAGGAGAGATTAGACTCATCCAAACTTCCATAGAAACTCTCCAGAAGGAGAAGCAGAAAGTTCAGAAACAGAAAGATGAGGCAAGGGGGAGGAGCTGTGGAAAGGTTTGGGGAGTAAGTTCAAGAGAGTTGGTACAATTTTCTATATCAGATTTGCAAATAGCAACTTGCCATTTTTCAGAGAGCTTCAAGATTGGAGTGGGTGGATATGGAGCTGTTTATAAAGGGGAATTATTGGATAGAACAGTTGCTATAAAGAAGCTTAATCCACACTATATGCAAAGCCAATCAGACTTTCTTCAACAGGTAAATGACCTACATTATGTATACATACGTCAATATGTGTGTATAGGTTTCGGTTCAAATAAAAAAAAGTGCTTAATGTGCGGATTGCACTCCTACTTCGTTACGTTGCATTTGTATGGTGAACCACTGCCCTTTACACCGTGGCAAATATCAATTACTAAATAAAACGCGGTTGTAATTTTCTATATAAGAAGTTGAAAAGTGCAATATCTGAACATAAAGTGCAGCATGGTGAAATAGAATTGCAATTTAAACGTTCGCACATTAGCCATTTTTGTTTGAAAAGGATCCTATATATATGTTTTGTGTGTGTGGGTGGGTTCGGGGCGGAACCAGGGCACTGGGTCGATACAATGAATATTTTTGGGGGGAAAATCACACAGAATTTTTTACACTAAAAAATAAGCCACTTTTAAATTTGGGGTGGGCCTAGGTTGGCCCCCCTCTACCTCCGCCCCTGAGGTGGGTGGATGAGTGTGCCTTTCATCTATATGTTGTGTTCTAAATTCTAACTCAACTACTTCCGTTGTCCCAAAGAAAGAAACTTGCTTGTAACACTCAACTCGGTACTACAAATAGGAATCTTTTTTATCAAATGACCCTCAAGTTTTCTTTAAATTACAAATGTCCCTAATTAATTCGGTATTTCGCAGACAACATATAACATGGAATTGATTTATTTTGGACTGAATTACCATATATATGTGTTTTTAAATGTCATATTTTCGTTACATTTCATCTAAGGTACGTAGTATAACTTTTCCTTCCTAAAAATGCAGGTTCAAATTCTAGGAAAACTTTATCATCCTCATCTGGTAACTTTACTTGGGTTATGTACTGAAGATTGGTACCTTGTTTACGAGTATATGCCAGGAGGAAACCTCCGGGACCACCTTCTCCACAAGAGCAGCATTACATGGAAAAACAGATTGCAAATTGTTGCTCAAATTGCTAAAGGGCTTTTGTTTTTACACACTTCCAACCCTGAAAAGATTGTGCATGGCAATCTAAAGCCTGAAAATATCCTCCTAGACTCTTACAACAGCTGCAAAATATGTGATTTTGGGATTTCTAAGCTTTTTCCGAACCAAACGCTTCATTGTCCAAGTTTCCGGCGTCAAAGTGTGTCAAAGGGCGCTTTTTCATACACTGATCCAGAATTTCACGTCAGTGGGTCTCTGACAACGAAGTCAGACATCTATTCGTTTGGACTGATCATACTTCAGATGCTCACGGGAAGAAGTCCGGAGGGACTATCCCGTGAGGTACGTAAGGCTGTCTCATGCAGGAATCTGGAATCCATTTTGGATTCATCTGCTGGTGATTGGTCAGCTTTTGTGGCAAGGAGGTTGGCCGGCTTAGGGTTGAGTTGTTGTGAGCTAAACAGTAGGGATAGACCCGAGTTGACGCCAAGTCTAGTAAGGGAGTTAGAGCAGTTGCACACCTTGGAGGAGCGTGTAGTGCCATCTTTTTTCCTTTGTCCTATTTCTCAGGTATCATCTGTTTGTTTCGTGCATTTAACCCGGGTCAGTAAAATTACCAAACTAATAGCTTTTGATTGTCTCACATTGGTTGCGTTTGGTTCCAGCATGTAAGTGTGAAGTATTTGATAATTCTTTTGGGATAAAGTTACATCAAGTGTCCCACATCCGAAATTTGTTTGTCTCATACGGAGTATATAAGTATGAGGATTGGAGACTAGGAGTCAGTTAGGGCCAATTTAGTAGTGTCAGAGCCTGATCCATTTGTTCTTTGTTTGTTTATTTGTTTATTTATTAGCACTCTACAAATTAGGGTAGCCATTTAGGATCGGTTTGACACAGTGTCCCAGATCCAAAATTAGTGCACCTCATATATAAGTACGAGGATTGGAGACTTGGAGTCAGTTAGGGCCAGTTTAGCATAGTGTTATAGCCTAGTCTATTCGTTGTTTGTTTGTTTGTTTGTTTAGCACCCTACAAATTAGAGTAGCCATTTAGGGTCGGTTTGAGACATTTATTCACCCATTCTTCCAACCTAGTTTGGGTCGAGTGTACATGTTAAGTTTCTCTCATCAGAAGTTTACCGTATTTCTGTCTGATAAATAAGTATGAGGTAAGCATATTGTATCTTGAGAATTCTTTTGGGTGGGTAAGGCCCAATTTGACAAGTTAGCCTACCCAATCTAATAATCATTTTAGCGTGACTCAAATCCAATATGATATGGTATCTTAAGCTGGTCTGACAGTGCGTTGTGATTTATTCGCCAATATGATATGAACGGTCAGGCTAAGCCGCTCGATGGTTGGTTGGGGGGCACTTGGGCTGAGGAATATGTTCAGTATCCCACATTGGTTGTTTATTGTGTTCGGGTTTGGTAATACAAATGCAAAGTAAATATCACCTGTTTTAGATTCTTTTGGGATGAATGGGACTCAATTTAAGAACTGTATTACGTGTTTTGTGTGTGTTTGCAATTCAAAAATGGTGTTCACAACATAATTATGGATTTTTTGCTGCTTCAGGAGCTAATGTATGATCCTCAAGTGGCAGCAGACGGGTTCACCTATGAAGGAGAGGCCATAAGGGGGTGGCTGGGAAGTGGGAGAGGTACTTCCCCGATGACCAATTTGACACTTAGTCACTTGGACCTTACTCCTAACCCCTCACTCCGGCTTGCTATCCAATGTTGGATCTCCAATTCTCATTAACTCCTCCTCCTCTTCCACCTCCACCAATGTCTATATTTTGTCAATCGTAAAGTTCATTTGTATTGTATATCCATAGGACTCAGCTTAGCGGCTTAGCCTGACCGATCACGTAAAGAAAGGTACTTTACAGTTTACGTAATCTTTTAGGCTCTGTTTCATTGTAGTAGATGTAATGGAAAAAATGTTGTGAGTTGTTCTATGTATGCGTGTATAATGCACAGGCGCCTTGGTAGGTTATTGTATTGAACTAATGAATGTGATAAAATCAATTTCAACCTAATAAGTAAATCACAAGCTCTGCTGTTATTTGATTCATCTTCTAATAGCCATAAGGCCCATAATGCTAACAAGCAGTATAAATCATTAGGGCTATATTTTTTGTATCAATAGACGTTAATCCACTACACTTTCTATTGAACGTGCGATGGAAACAAAAATGTAATGAAATGAAATCTTTCATTTCATCACTATGTAATAATTATGACACCATTATGTTTTTATGTAAACATATACTACGTAGTTAAGTCATCATCATTTTCATTTGCCTCAGTGCCGCAAAGGCTCCCACCTACGGTGGGGTAAGGGGATCGGATGTACGTAGTCTTACCCTTGTACTAAAGCACGGAGAGACTGTTTCCGGATGAAAATCGCGTCCAAAATTGTATGGATTGACCGATGCTTCATAAGAAAGAAGCGCAGACAGTTTAGTGAGCCGTTTTGCTTTATCCCATCATATTCTCAAGCCAAAAAATAATGAATCTTTGGCTCCCTTGCAAATGATGGGAAAGTAAACAAATAGTTAAGTAATGTAAATAATTATTTGCAATTCATAATTATCGTTACAAATACCAGCTGCAAATATCATTATCATTTGACCTTGAGTAGAAGAAGATATGTTTTTAGGTGATATCAAAGGTTGATTCCGCTCTATTACACACATACTCCTTGATCCAGAGCAGAGTGTAAGACTGGACCGCTGAAGCTTCCAAACTCACGATTTTCAGGCCTTCTCCAGTTCTCCTGTTAGGCTATTATTATATACAGTATTAAAAGTAGCTATTTTTTTAAAAAATTCAAAAAAAAAAAGTAGCTCTTGTATAGAAAAGTAGAAAATGAAACATTTGATATTGAATGAATTCATTGATAATTACGAAATGCATACTTAAATAGAAATTATAACTCAAAGTCGTTCCTCAAGGATAAAATTACCAAATATTGGTTTACTGCTTTAGTAGTTAGCAAGTAAACCATATTTTGGGTTTTCTAAAAGCTCATTTATTTAAATAGGTTAGGCTTGACCACAATTTTGAGATTCTCTTAGCTTAATAACCGGCCTATATATATTGCAAATTAGGGGTGGTCTCGGGCCGGGCGGCCCGCCCCCGGAACCGGCCCGGACCGGTATTGTTTGTACCCGGCCCGGCCCGGGAACCGGTCAGGGGACCGGTTCGGGCCGACCCAACCCAATAGCTAGGTGGTCCGGGCTCGGGCCCTCCAAATGATGAACCGGCCCGGTCCGGGCCTCAACGGCTATTTAAAAAAAAAAAAACAGGCTCCCTAGCCGTTGGGAATAATCCCAAACGGCTCTATAGCCGTTGGCGGGAGAGGAGGGGGGGGGGGGGTCGTCCGGGGGGGGTTTTGGGGATACAAAAAAAAAACCTATTTATACTCTTATTTTCTATACATTTTTCACATCATCTTCATACAATCCTACTCTCTAATTTTCTATTCTCTCATACTCAATCATCTCCATCTTCATCTTCTCTCTCTCTCTCTCTCTCTCTCTCTCTCTCTCTCTCTCTCTCTCTCTCTCTCTCTCTCTCTCTCTCTCTCTCTCTCTCTCTCTCTCTCTCTCTCTCTCTCTCTCTCTCTCTCTCTCTCTCTCTCTCTCTCTCTCTCTATATATATATATATATATATATATATATATATTATTTATATAATTATTATATCTACTTATATATTAATTATCTACTTATATACATATATTATATTACTAATATTTATTATCTACTTAATATATACTTATTATCTACTTATACATCTCCATCTTTTTAATATTTACTTTGATATCTACTTATTATCTATATTTATTTTAATTTACTTGTATATATTAAAGTATTATATATAAGTGTATTACTCATCTTATAGTAATATACTTGTATATTATATACTATAAACATTATATTATATATTATTTATACAATTATCTACTTATATACATATTATCTAATTATACATCTCCATGTTTTTTATATTTACTTTGATATCTACTTATTATCTATATTTATTGTAACTTACTTATATATATTAAAGTATTATATATAAGTGTATTACTCATCTTATAGTAATATACTTGTATATTATATACTATAAACATTATATTATATATTAGTTATACAATTATCTACTTATATACATATATTATATTACTAATATTTATTATCTACTTAATATATTAGTTACACTTGAATTCATAGTAATTAAATTCATCGTATTAGTTAATTTTTACATTTCTCATTATCCTAATTTAGTTAATTAATACTTGTCTCGTTTTTTCTATTAGTTAATTCATTGTTTTTTTCTATTCATAGTAAATAAATTCATCGTATTGTTACATTTTTCATTTCTCTATTAGTTAATTTATTAATTGTTGCATTTATCATAAAAGTATAAAACTAGTTAATTGTTACATTTTTCATTAAAGCATAAAACTAGTTAATTCTTACATTTTTCATTAAAGTATAAAAGTAGTTAATTGTTACATTTTTCATTAAAGTATAAAACTAGTTAATTGTTACATTTTTCATTTCCCTATTATTTAATTTGTTAATTATTTCATTTATCATAAAAGTAAAAAAACTAGTTAATTGTTAATTGTTGCATTAAAGTTTAAAACTAGTTTATTTTATTAGTAAGTGGATTCTTGGAAATTTGCTATAATTTTATTAGTCGCATTTTATTATTATTATTGTACTCATATTAAAACATTTGATATAATATAATATTTGTTACATTTTAAAGATGGACCGTGGTAGACATTCCGTAGATATGGTAATCTCCAACGCAACCGAAGGAAGGAGATTGCGACAAGTCATCCTAGTTTACGCAAAGGCAAAGGGCGGGCCGGGTCTTCTTCTCAAAGTCGAGAAGATTTTGAAACGGGATACCAAAGGCGGGATGGGGATGCGATGTCCGACGAGCAACTACAACAACTATTGGCGCAAAATGATGGGCGCTTTTTCCAACAACAAAACATCCCGGAGTCCATTGATGAAGAGGAGCTCGAGGATGACGATGCGGAGGAGGACGAGGGGGGGTGACGGGACTCACGGCACCCCGGATGATGAGCAAGAGTTGGAGGACGAGGGCGGTTCATCCCAAATTGGTATGAAATCTAAATCTCCTATTATAGAAAATAATTTTACAAAGAGGAAAGACAAATCAACCGATAAATGGTACGCAAGTTGCAATCATTGCAAGGAGTATAGCTTGGGAACTTCCGGCGGATACGGGAGCCTCAAAAGGCATCTTAAGTCCGCGCACTCTGTGGAGTATGCGAAAATAGACAAAGGCAAGGGGAAGCAAACTCAAATATCGAGGTTTGCAAATGACCAACCTTTTGGTAATTTCTCATACAATGATGCACAAAATTTGACTTGTATGGCTAACTTAATTGTTGAAGAAAATTTGCCTTATTTGTTTTCTGAAAGTCTTACTTTTAAAGATTAGGCACAAACTTGTTTAAATCCTCAATTTAGAGCTTATAGTCGCAAAACAGTTAAGAAAGAAATTATAAGGCTTTATTCAAAAAAAGAAATTATAAGGCTTTATCGTGTGGAAAAGGATAGATTACAAATTTTTTTTGCAAACTTTGATGGCCGTGTTACTATTTGTTCTGACATTTGGGAGGATACTTATCATAATTTACATTATTTGGGTTTGACTGCACATTTTATTGATAATGATTGGAATTTGCATAAACGTGTTCTTGCTTTTCGTGAATTTAATGATCGTCACACCGCTGAACATATTTATATTTTGATTGAACGTATTTTAACTGAGTATAATTTGATTGATAAGGTGTTTGCTATAGGTTTTGATAATGCTACTAATAATACTGCTGCTATATCTAGATTGCGTGAATTGTGTGGTTCTAATACTTTGATGGGTAGATTTTTTCATCAACGATGTGCATGCCATATTATAAATTTATGTGTGCAAGACGGTATAAAAGCGTTAGGAGATGCTATGGAGGTAGTCAAGGGGGGATTAGACGTATTTGGATCAATGGTCAACTTAAATTAAAATGGCAAAATTATTTGATTGAAAGAGGTGTGAAATATGTTGCTTTTCCTAAAGATTTGTCTATTCGGTGGAATAGTACTTATAAATTAATTAAAGTTCTTCTTAGATATAAAGAACATTTTCCTGTTTTTTAAGACAATATGATAACTATATTTTAAACTCCGCTCATGTCGACACTTGTGAAAAAAATTGTAATGTTTTGATATATTTTAATAATGCAACTGATAGTTTTAGTCATGTTTATAAATCTACCTCAAACGAATTTATTCGTGAAGTTGTTAATCTCGCCGGTGCTTTTAATGAATTTAAGAATGCCGCTTACGTGAGTTATTTTTGTGGTTTTATGAAGGAAAAGTTTTTAAAATATTATGCACATATTCCGCATATTTATGGTATTGCATTTATTCTCGATCCTCAGCTCGTTATAGACTTGGTAATTTGGAAGAATGTTTGAAGTTCTATTATAATGCTTTTTTTGGTCCATTTCCAATGTATGACGATAACGCCATATATCCGCAAGTTGAATACAACGAGGTTAGTAATTTATTTTATGCCTTATTTAATGAGTTTCATGCACAATATGCCAACGCGCCCCCCTCCCCCTCCCCGACACACACATCTTCATCTAAAGGAAAATCACTTCTTAAATCTGCTTTTGGCAATCTTATGAAAAAAAACTAAAACAACTCACACTATTGAACAAATCGCACTTAATGAGATTTCTTTGTATATAAATTATGAGGTAGAATTTGACGAAAATGAGAAGTTTGACGTTCTAAAGTTGTGGAAGTCAAAAGAAAGAATGTTCCCGATTTTGGCACGGATGGCTAAGCAAGTGCTATCAATGCCGGTTTCAACAATTGCCGTGGAACAAGAATTTAGTTCGGCCGACAACGTTCTAACGGCGTCTAGAACGAGTTTGAGCGCAGAGTCTCTTGAGACGCTTATATGCTACCACGATTGGTTGAAGGCCATACATTAGGGGTGGACCGGTTCCGGTTCGGGCCTGGGCCCGGCCGGTTCGCGGTTCTGTTTTGTTGGGCCCGAGCCCGAACCGGTAGCCACCGGTTCCGGGCCCGGTTCCGGCCGGGCCAGGCTGGGCCACCCGGTTTGTAATTTTTTTTTGGCTTCTCCTATTTAACCCCCAACCCACCCCCCCTCACCCCCAACCCACCCCAAACCACCTCAAATGGCCCAAAATACCCAGCCCAACCCAAAAACTTTAAAAAAAAAATCAGAAGAAAAAAAATTAAATTCGGCCCGGACCGGGCCTGAATCGGCCGGGCCGGTTCACCAAATGGAGGGCCCGAGCCCGGAACCGAAGCCCACCGGGCCGGGTGGCCCGAACCGGGCACTAACCGATTCACCGGGCCAGGCCGGGCCCGCACAGTAGCGGGCCGGTCCGGGCCGGTTGGCCCGGCCCGAGTCCATCCCTACCATACGTAGAACTCAATAAATTAGAATCACCCCCCTCCCAAGACTTTATGGATGAATCAACAACCGAGGGTGGCTCCTATGCCGGAGATTCCGATTGATTAGTATTTCACAATTTATTATAAAATGTATTTCATGTTTTAATTTTTCCCTCAATTCTCTATTGTAATTTGTAAACTTGTAGTTCATATTTCAAATAAATATATATCCTTTTTTATATATGTAGCACTTCTCAAATTAATTAATTGGTTACAAACTTACAACTTACAACTTAGAATTAATTATATTATGTTATAATATGGAAGGAAATAAGCAGAAGATCAGGGAGATAAAGTATAATCTGAATACTTAGTGAGAAAGATGTTATTAGAAGTGTGATAATGGTGTGTTAATTACAATGAGAATGACTCCTATTTATAGGAGAAAGTGTGAGCTCAATGAGATTAGGAGATCATTGTGAGCCACACATTTATCACCTTGAAATCACAATTATGATTTCCTAATTATTTATGTAATGATGATAATAATTCCTAATCAGGAATAGTTAGAAGATGACTAATTCAATAATATTTCAACACTCCCCCTTGAATGGTCATCTTCTAATTATTCTGGGGTATTAGTTTCATAGTATTATAATGTACTGTCTCGTTAAAAACCTTTGTCAAGAAAAACCCAGTGGGATAAAAACCTGACGAAGGGAAAAAGAGTGCAGTGCATTATATTACTCCCCCTCAATTTAACATATATCTCGAAGACGATACATTCCAATTTTATGGACCAGTTCTTCAAATTTCTTCGGTGCCAATGACTTTGTGAACAAATCAGCAGGGTTGTCGCATGACTTGATTTGTTTGACATCGACCGTTCCGTCTTTCTCAAGATCATGTGTGGAGAAAAGTTTTGGTGCTATATGCTTTGTTCTGTCCCCTTTGATGTAACCTCCTTTGATCTGAGCTATACATGTTGTATTATCTTCATAAATCACAGTAGGATTAGAAGTAAAAGATTCTATACCGCATTCATTTTGTATGTGCTGGATCATTGATCTCAACCAGACACACTCACGACCTGCTTCATAAAGAGAAATTAATTCTGCATGATTTGATGATGTTGCAGTTAATGTTTGCTTCATTGATCTCCATGATATAGCGGTATCACCATAGGTGAATAAATATCCTGTTTGTGATTTTGCCTTTTGTGGATCAGACAAGTATCCTGCATCCGCGTAGCCAATTAAAGTGGCATTTGCACCATTCTTGAAATACAATCCAAGATCGATTGTACCATTGAGATATCGGAATATATGTTTGACACCATTCCAATGCCTTCTTGTTGGGGAAGAACTGTACCTGGCTAATAAATTTACAGAAAAAGCAATATCTGGTCGAGTATTATTAGCCAAATACATTAATGCTCCAATAGCACTCAAATATGGTATTTCGGGACCAAGGATTTCTTCATCATCTTCACAAGGTCGGAAAGGATCATCATGCACATTGAGAGATCGAACCACCATTGGAGAATTGAGCGGATGTGCTTTATCCATGTAAAATCGCTTCAAAAGTTTCTCGGTATAATTTGATTGGTGGATGAAAATACCATTTCTCAAATGTTCAATTTGAATGCCGAGACAAAATTTTGTTCTCCCAAGGTCTTTCATTTCAAATTCTTTCATGAGATATTTTGCAGTATTTTCAATTTCATTAGGAGTTCCGGTTATATTCAAATCATCAACATATACTGCAATTATGGCGAATCCTGATTCGGATCGCTGAATGAAAACACATGGACTAATAGGATCATTTTTATACCCTTCTTTAATCAAATATTCACTGAGACAGTTATACCACATGCGTCCAGATTGTTTTAATCCATATAATGACTTTTGCAATTTTATGGAAAATAAATCTCGAGATTTCGAGCTATAAGCATCAGGTATTTTAAAGCCTCCAGGAATTCTCATATATATGTCTGTATCGAGTGAACCGTATAAATATGCGGTCACCACATCCATTAGGCGCATTTGCATCCTTTCAAAAACAGACATGCCAATTAAAAATCTTAAAGTTGTAGCATCAACTACTGGAGAATACGTCTCATCATAATCGATTCCTGGCATTTGAGAAAAACCTTGGGCAACAAGTCGGGCTTTGTATCTAACGATTTCATTTTTCTCGTTGCGTTTACGCACAAAAACCCATTTAAAACCGACAGGTTTTACGCCTTTTGGCGTATGGACAATTGGTCCAAAAACATTACGCTTTTCTAGCGATTTTAATTCTACCTGAATTGCTTCATTCCATTTTGGCCAATCATTTCTACGACGACATTCGTCAATAGATTTAGGCTCATTGTCATCGTGTTCATTCATTATATCTGTGGTGATGGCATATGAAAATATATCATTAACATCAATATCATTTCTATTCCATTGTATTCCATTAGAAACGTAATTAATTGAAATTTCAAAATTATCGACGTTTCTATCTTTATCTGGAATATTTACCTCTTCGAAGGTGATTGGATCCTCTTTTGAGGTATCATTATTGTTGATGTTATCTTCAAGGCCGATATTTTCAAAATGCTCATTTTCTTCTTGAGAAGGTTGAACTTCTTTGGCATCACAAACTACAACTTGCTGTTTAAATTTTCTTGGTTTCAAATCTCTTGAACCAAGTGGTCTACCACGTTTTTTACGTATCATAGATTCATTAGCAAGTGTTCTTTCGCTAATCTCCGCAGGAATTTCTATTCGAGAAGGAGCATTCATAGCTGGAACATGTGACTTTGTCACTTTCTTTGAGTCTGTGAAAGCATCAGTCAATTGGTTTGCAACATTTTGTAAATGAATAATCTTTTGAATTTCTTGTTCACAAGCATTTGTGCGAGAATCAAGAAAAGATAAATTTGTTGCATTCCAAGTAATATCTTTCGTACGTGGGTCCATTTCTTTAATATCTCCCCCTAAGGCTGGGAATACTGTCTCATCAAAATGACAGTCATCGAACCGCGCGGTGAATAAGTCACCGGTCATAGGTTCTAGATAATTAATAATTGAGGGTGATTTAAAACCAACATAAATTCTCAGCCTTCTTTGAGGACCCATTTTAGTACGATAAGGTGGAGCAATTGGTACATACACAGAACAACCAAATATTTTTAGGTGGGATATATTTGGTTCTTTACCAGATATTAATTGTAATGGGGAATATTTATGATATGCCGTTGGCCTAAGCCGAATTAAATTTGCAGCATGCATTATAGCATATCCCCATGCAGATGATGGTAATCTGGATTTCATCAATAATGGTCTAGCAATTAATTGCAATCGCTTAATTAAGGATTCGGCAAGACCATTTTGTGTATGTACATGTGGAACTGGATGTTCCACATCAATCCCAATTGACATGCAATAGTCATTAAAAGATTGGGATGTAAATTCTCCTGCATTATCAAGTCGGATTTTCTTTATCGAATAATCCGGAAATTGTGATCTCAAACGAATAATTTGAGCAAGGAGATTTGCAAATGCAAAATTTCTAGTCGATAAAAGACTGACATGTGACCAACGTGTTGATGCATCAATGAGCACCATAAAATATCGAAACGGTCCACACGGAGGGGTAATTGGCCCACAAATATCTCCTTGAATTCTTTCTAAAAATGCAGGAGATTCAACTCCAATTTTGTATAAAGATGGCCTGATAATTAATTTGCCAAGAGAACAGGCAGTGCACGGAAAATCACTTGATTGTGGAATCTTGACATTAGTTAATGAATGTCCAAGTGAATTTTCAATAATATTGTGCATCATAGTGCTGCCCGGATGACCTAAACGGTCATGCCACAAGATAAAAGAATTGTGGTCATAAATTTTAGATACCACATTTATCTCAATTGGACTGATATATGTATAATACAGTCCCGAGTAATATGCTGGCATTTTTTCAGAAATGTATTTATTGCCAGATCTATTTGTCGTTAGACATAAATATTCCTTCTGATTTTCAGACATGGTTTCAATATGAAAACCATTTAGACGCAAATCTTTAAAGCTCAAAAGATTTCTCCGTGATTTACTGGAGTATAAAGCGTCTTTAATTATTAATTTTGTCCCTTTTGGGAGAATCACACAGGCTATTCCAGAACCTTCAATGAGTTTAGCAACACCTGAGATTGTATTGACATTAGCATCAACTAATGTCATATGAGAAAAATAATCTCTATGTCTCAAAATGGTGTGCGTTGTGGCACTGTCTATTAGACATTGTTCAGAGCCACTTGGAGAAATTTTAGTTAACTCCATATCTTCGCGAAGATAAAATGAACAAATATTAGTTCAATATTGTAATATAAATTGTACTTCACTTAATAGTACATTTAATTGTGAATAACTTTCACGTTAAAAATAAGCACTACTTTAAATTTCTATTTTGAAATATACTCCATACTAGATAACAAGGAGAAAATAAAGTGAGTTACTCTATTCGGACTTTCAATAAGAGAAGTGATTTAGGTCACATATTTACTTCTTATTAATTTCGACCTCATCATTTGAGATTAAAAACGATCATGAGTGCCGTTATGAGGGGTTATTCCCGGCAATTGACATAAATGTACATAATGACCGTTTGGTTCAAGTTACTGTCATACCAATTGTTAAGGGGCCCTCTTAACAATTGGAGACGTGTAACTTAATAATAATCAAAAGTTATTATTTCGAAAGAAATAATATACTATAGTAACCGAATGTCTTTGATGGATAAATTGTTGTCTTGGTTTTAACAATATACAACACAGTAGTCCATTTTTCAAATAATTTTAGTTCATCGGTTTAAGTAATATTTTAGTCAAAGTGATTGTGTTGAAAAAACATTGAGGTAGCAAAAAGAAAACAATAATGAACTTCCTCCAAAGTCCAAATCAAGAGGTATACGTATAATTTATTGTTATCACTTTTATTTATTAATTATTTCATATGCGTAGATGTAGTAATCTATACTCAGTATTAAATCCATTTCATTTTTATTTATTTATACACCGGGTCTTTAAATTGAAATGGTGTTGGGAAAAGCCAAAATAGTGAAGTCAACATTAATATAAAAAAAAAAAACTTCACGTGTATATGTCGGCATGAGAGACCATAGTCAGGAGTCAGGACAGTCATGAGTCATCTCATTTAATGTTAGGGAGTAGCTTATTATGTTCTCTCAATGTATATATGTAATGAATTTAAAAAAAAAACATTAAACTAATCCTTGAGATGGATAACTGAATAGCTCAATAGATCTCCATAAGATGTATGTATATTATGTACCGAGTATATATGAAGGCACTATGATAATTACTTCATAAAATTAAATTGCCGTGTAGACCCGTGAGTTATACGGAGTATATCAATATATGTGGTACTGGTGCTAGTAAAAATAAACAACCCATGACTCCAGAAAATTGTCAGTGCTTTATGAGAGTCTGGCCATTTAGATAAGACCGTTTATTTGTCCAGTTTGTTTATCTCACCCCTAAGTAGCAAATACATGCAATTTACACGAAACCTGGATATTTGTTGTGTCAACCCAACTCATAATATCAGGACGTACAAAAAGATGTGGTAGTGTTAGTACACCCATGTGAAATACGGAGTAGTTGGTTTTATAGAGAGAGATACTACGATGTACTCCGTATTTATTATATCAAGGAAGAAGACAAGTAAAAATAAATGCTCTTATCTACTTGTATGGCCTGTGACTAACTACCAGCTAGTTTTATTTATACATCAATTCAATGAATTAGTTTGTATGATGATGTTCGAATATAAAGCAAACAACGTACTAATTTCCCCTCACCGTCTCTCCTTTTTTTTTACAGAGTACTTCATATCGAGTTCCCTTTTTTTTTATAGTCTATGAAGATATAAAAATAGATTGTATTTATGCTACTATCAAATGTTGAAGAGAGGAAAAGAAAACTAATACTATCTACTACGTAGTATATTAGTTGATGGATTCATGAGATTGATGAGCTTATGCTCTTCTTATATTCATACGGATTTAGTTCATATGTATTTAGTACAATATGTTCATATTATCATATATACATGAAAATCTCTGATATATGCTGTCAAACATTCTTCCCAAGCAAAAGTTCAGATTTCAGAGCATATTTTATCTCAAGAACATATTAGTATAAAGGTATGTCTTTCTTCCTCTTCGACCTCTTTTATAAAAAATATAGCTATAATTTTCTGATATGGAGGATCCCAATTGTTGGGCAACCATAGAGCATACTTCTTATAGTTTTGAATATATATATATAAACTTGTTATACTTCTCAATCTCTGATTTTCTTTTCACATGAATTAATAAATTCCAGAAAGTATATACCTGCTGGGAAGATGATGATTTTGAAGATTTGGAGCAAATTCGTGCTGATAACGTGTTATAATATGGAAGGAAATAAGCAGAAGATCAGGGAGATAAAGTATAATCTGAATACTTAGTGAGAAAGATGTTATTAGAAGTGTGATAATGGTGTGTTAATTACAATGAGAATGACTCCTATTTATAGGAGAAAGTGTGAGCTCAATGAGATTAGGAGATCATTGTGAGCCACACATTTATCACCTTGAAATCACAATTATGATTTCCTAATTATTTATGTAATGATGATAATAATTCCTAATCAGGAATAGTTAGAAGATGACTAATTCAATAATATTTCAACATATTAGTATTTATTAGAAAATGTATTTCATATTTAAGTTGTATTAGTAAGTTAAAAAAAATTACAGAGGCCCGACCCGACCTGGCAGGTGGCCCGGCCCGAACCGGCACCGGGCGAAGAACGGGCCGGTTCCGGGCCCCCCAATCCAGAACCAAAGGCCCAACTGGGTCTAGGCCCAGCCCAGGCCCGAGTCCAGGCCTGTTGCAAATTAGTTATTCGCATAATCCAACGCTAATAAAATTGCATATCAGATCAAATGGACTTTTCTGGAATAATCTTCTGATTTCCTAACAGACGCAAAATGATATCAATATGACAGTATATAAGGTATATTTAAGAATCTTGACAAAAGCTATTACTGTATCCTTTTAAGGAAATGATATTATTTGTAATAGTCACGATTTGAAGGGAGGTAAATGCTATTAGAATTGAGAGTAAAATAGATAGAATAATATTACTTCGTATTATATTCACCAAAAGCCCTTCACACGGACCCCCCACATTGCATGGTGGACAGCTAAACTCATTGTAAACACGCCTAAATCATACAGTATTTAACTTGCAATGCCAAGTAGCAAATGATGTACGGCAAGTGCGACATAGTGTATGATGTACACTAATTTTCGAAACGCTATAGTTGTGTTCTTTTCAGGAAGAGTTGTCCATCTATCTTCCTAATAATGCGACACGGTCCTTCTGTACGGCAAGTGCCAAGTTCATATCGAAGAGCTCACACCGAATCGGCATCTCCATTTCATAGAAAGGGTTCTTCAACACATAATCTGTGTACAATTCGTATATACATTTCAAGAGGGGTTCCATATGCAGCGTTCCAGGCTCACATACCACAAAAAATTTTGTCCCTAAAAAAAGGAAGAACAACCGTTTACTTCAATTTATTTTAATCTCACACCAGATTTACATTGAGTAATAATGAGATACACATAATATCAAACATAAATAGACCAAACCATATCAAACTAGACCAAACTTAAACAAAACAAACGAGATCAATTTCGACCACCAAAACATTCAAGTCCAAATGAACTCCTTATACGGAGCATATGGCAAGCACTTGGTGTTCTATAAATCTGCTAATCTTTGTCGAGTCAGTTAGTCACTAAACCAAAATTGGCTGACCATGTCTTTTATTAGAATCTGACCCAACCAAGACATGAGTAGACACTAGGCAATTGGTTTGAAAGTATGTAGCCTGCCAAGCGCTAAGTGTCTTTTTAAGACATTGATTTTGGCGCTTTCACATGATTCTGCATAATTTTCCTATTATGCTACAAATTATTGGTAACATTTCTTATGTCAGATGCATCTCTTTTGAGATATCATGAAATTCCAGAGTATTTTGTAGACGAGGTACTCTCAGCAAAGTAGCAGGTTTTTTATGGTTCACTTAACTAGGAAAGTATTTAATTTTCTTTCATAAATCGATCTCTTTTTGGGCTTATATACTCGGCATATTAGGATAAAGAGTCACCACCATCATAGCCTTTGGCCATGTTCCTTCAGCCCTATGCAAATCTTCTAAACCACCCTTCTTGGCTCAAGTCAAATGCCTCACACTCCTAGAGTAGCTTATTCCATTAGTGTCAATTAACCTCCCTAGTAATCTTGACCAAATTTATGATGTTTGGTCATCAACATCACCTTAATCAAAACGTTCTTTGGGACTGTGAATCATGACTTGAAATTAAAAGGCTAATTAATTAACACTACTAATTGTGTAATTCATGCAAAAATGCGCTCCAGGTCAAAACCTTCTGAACCGGAAAAATGAGGTGAATATCATTAGACAGTGATGGTTTGTGATAGTCATGAGTCATGACCCAATGGGAAAATGGTTTTATAAAATTGGAAATTTTGAAAATATTATAATCCCAACTATTGCCGGTCCGCTAACAATAATCCCAACTATTGATTATTTTTGTATAATCCCAACTATATGGACCGTCCACCAATAATGGTCCGTGATTAGATAACAAGTGAATTTCAAATAGAAATTGAGCGTAAAAAATAAAAATTGGGATTATTTATAGGGATTACTTGCTATATATCTCTTCTCATCCACTTTAGAAATTATAGGAATTTATTCATAGCCGGTCACGTCGGACCATTATAATTGATAATGGTCCCTAAAGTTGGGATTATTCTGAAATAATTGATAATTGGGATTATTATAAGCGGACCGTCAATAGTTGGGATTATTACTATCAATTTTTCCTATAAAATTTAACTTTGAAAGGCTAAACCCAAAAATGTGAAAGCTGTTGGACCTCTAATGAAGCATAAATATAACATTGTACATCGTTCTCTAAAGATTCCATTTCATAATGAGGGATAAGTGCAACACAGAAATAGATAAAATGTGAAAGCACATTGCTAAATTTGTTACTTAAAAAAAAAGGAATGAAAGAGGAAATACCAGTTAGAGATTGGAAGCAGTGAAGATCAAAGGTGTCGGCTTGAAGGAGTTCAATGCCAGAGCAACCATTGATAGGAGAGAGTTGCTGAGAGATGGCATGCATTGAATGCCACAAACTTGCCAGCCTCAAACTATCATTGGTATCCATCCTTCCAGCTGAACCATAATCCTGCAGTTTTGACATCAATAATTAGGTTTTCCAAGAGCAATTTATTCTAAATTAAAAATCCAGGCTAGAAAATTTAGGAAATAGTTGTAAATGTATTGACCTTGTAGAAAATAAGGCCTCCTGATTTGTTGATGATATAGAAGCTGTAGACAGCTGCCATTTCTGCTCAAAATTGAAATGTCTTTCTTCTTATAATGGGAGTTGCTAATATAAAGATTACTAATACTACAATGCATATTTGTGCTTAAAGATTTATTTTAATGTTGAAATTAGGACCAGCTTAATTAAATTAATGGGAAAAAACCATGACTAGCGAAATAGAAGGGGGGATTACAGGTTCTTCACAATTCAGAAATCACCATGGCGAAGCAATTCATTAAAATATAGAAGCATAGAGCCATAGACTAACTACAAATGGTTGAATTTAAATCAGTGTTGATCGAATGAAGTTAGCATCAAAGTGTCAAACCGATGCAATCTAATTTGAAGTGTAGAAGAAAGAATCTAGAACTTTACTACACAACAACAATATCCAAGCCTTAATCCCAAAAGAGTTTGGGGTCGGCTAACATGAATTGAAGCATGAAATCGGAGCCAGAATCGGAGCCAGAATGATAAGAAAGATAAGCAAGATAAAAAGATAAGAAAGATAAAAAGATAGGTAAAAAAAGATAAGATAGAGATGAATATAAGATAAAGATAAGAACTTTACTATGGTGAAAATTAATTACAACCAAGCTTGTCAATGGCGCGCAAATGGCTTCTGCGCCATAAAATGGGCCGTGGCACTGGGTATACACATGGCGACGCCATTGTCTCGCCATCGCCATGGCGATGCGTAGGCTTTTTTAACACATCAGCGGGTATTTGGTCTGGGATTTTGGGGCTGTTGGGCCTGCTGAATCTAGACGCTACCTCTGTTCTAAAAATCGCTCTAGACGCCCGACTAGTCACCGCCTAGGCGCAAGGCGATGGCCGAGCGCCCTGAATTAGTCTGCCGCCTAAGGCGCCTAATTGCCCGCCCAAAGCGCCTAATCTTCACCTAGGGCGTCTAGATTCGTCAAACAATTTTTTATTTTTATTTTTCTTTTTGTAAGAGATACATGTGCCTTTAAGTTTAATCACGCTTATGAAGAAAGATACTTATAAAGTAAGATAAAACTATATATGTTTGTATATATACTTAAATTTTATTACTCCGTATTATTTAATATTTATAACATAATGTAATTAAGTGATTAGTTATCATACATTATTTCATGTGACAATTCTATCATTCATGCATGTTAATGTGTGTATATATTTTTCGTACACACACAATATTACGGTTTTACTATGTATTATTTATTATATATATGCAAAAATATTGATAAAAATATAATTTATGTGTCTCTGACTAGTCCACGCCTAGGCGCCTGCCTAGCTGCCTAGGCGTTAGGCGCTGGGCTGGCGCCCGACTAGCGCCTAGCACCTTTTAGAACATTGATGCTAACCTTAATAAAACTTAATATTTTAGCCCATTATACCAATAACAACCCTAACAAAAGTAAATAAACACACAAAGCCTGCAGACACTAGAAGTTAAACCTGCGAGTCTGCGACAAAAAAGATGAGCGCCAAAAACACAAAGCATGTATTTTTCTTCTATATCTAGTTGGGGATTATTTGGTATGCAAGACATTTTCACTTGGGCATTCTTTCATTAAATATGTATGAAAAAGTTTGAGTAATTTGTTGATGCCTTCTCAGTTATTATCTAGTTAAAACAACAAATGTCAATTTTTACAAAATTTTCAAAGTGCGCGTATCAGGTACATAACCAGCCTGGATTTTGCACCATTGGCTGTGTCATGTGGAATTGACGTGGAACATGCATTTGTGATGCACTGTGAGTGTAGGAAGTGAAGTGGTTTACGGTTTGCACTTTGCAATGGTACTATCTGCAGTATAATACTGTCTTGGAACATAGTTGTTTGAGTTGGACATGCATATTAAGAACTTCACATAGATTCAAACCAAGATGATGAGGAGTGCAATGATTGATGATGATCATGCCATGAACATCAAACAAAAACAAGCTAACAAGCCTAAATCCCAACATATTTTGTTTCCCTTTTCACATGTTTTGGTTAGAATGTTGTTATTCAACTTTTTTAGCATGTTTTGGTGGTTGGGTTGATGAATTATAGTGTCTATCATTCGTTTTGAAGTTTTTTTTGTCACGTGGCGACACCATATTTGCGCCATCGCCATGGGAAATGGCTTGTGCGCCATGGATGTCGTCATGCGCCATGACAACTATGGTTACATCTAAATATATTTTTTATCATATACCCCCTCCGTCCCGCAAAGAAGTTCCCAGTTTGACCTACACACATATTAAGGAAATAAACTTACCAGGGGGTAAATTTTACTGTTTCGACACTGTTTTGCACTGTTTTGATGTAGGATAACTTTCCATTTAGGGAAAGGGGAACTTCTTTTGGGGACTGCTAAAAAGGAAAGCGGGAACTTCTTTACGGGACGGAGGGAGTAATATATATAGACAGAGTATGCTGGCACATAGCACAAGCTTAGCGGTCCTTTTAATCTTATGCATCAAGAACTGAAATGCAAATATGGGTAAAATAAATTCTGAAATTAAAGTTGATCCTTTTATAACTTGAAATTGTTAATGAAAATAGTAAACAAATATATTACACATTACTTTTGATAGTGTTTCTTTTAAAACATAATTTCCATATACCTTAATTTTGATGAAACAATTGTTTTGTTTGTAGAATGAAATGACTCACAAGGTTAGCAATAATACTAAAACTCAACACACACTATATAAGAAGTAGAATATGTTGAAATAATTTGGTATTATCAGATAGGCTCATCAAAATTAAGGGGGCTGTAGGTTTCTTGGTTCATTGACTCCTCAAGTTACAACGGACATAGTGAGTATGATCTAAGGTAGTGTAGGGAGGGTTTGTAATGTTTGATGAAAAAATGTTATTGTATAATAATAAAAAGTGAAAAAAAATGTAAAGCAAAAGTTGAACTTGTCATTTACATGCTTTCAGCTTTTAGCTTTTAAGTGTTTAATTTAAGTAGAAATTGCCATTTGGAAATTGAAAACACTATTTTCAACTTTTTTTAAACCAAAAGTTGAAAAGCACTTTTTTAGTTTTTTGAAACAGAACTATAATAAAGATCATTTGGGTTGAATTGAATTGGCTGGACTTGTTAAAATTACTGGCAATAAAATTGGCATTATTTGGTGGATATGCTAAAAGTGGAGCGGAAATGAATGAATTGACTACATTTGTTGAATTTGTGGAGCATAAAACATTAACATTCAAACTATATCTAATTAAAAATAAAGAAACGAATTTAGGTTTAAATATTATTACTCATTTGTCATATACTCATATCAATAAAAAGAAACAAATATCTTATTTCGAAGTTAGTATTGAGATTGTTATAGTTTTAAAAAATTAGGAAATAGAATTCCACCTGTAGAGACCAGTCGAATCAAAAAGAAAACCAGTAAAATTTAAAAAAAAAACTCAAAAAGAAAGAAAAATGAAACCAGTAAAAACTAGATACACAATTCAGTAAAATATATATCCAGTTAACCTATATACACAATTCAGAAAAAAAAAACTATATACAGAATTCAGTAAAAACTATATACACAACTCAGTAAAAACTATATACACAATTCAGTAAAACTATATACCAGTAAAAATATAACTCTAAACAAAAAATTCAGAACTATATACACACAAAAATCAGAACTAAACTATATAAAAAAGTGATGAGTTTGTGCTCAAAACTATACATTTTATTATCCATCATTTCACACTAAACTAGTAAACATCGATATTCATCCTCCCATCTCCTAACCTCTCTGATTCCCGTAACAAGGGGTGTTATTTAAAGAATATTTCCGTAACAAGAAAATTTGGGGATAAATACAAATATTATGCTCCAAAAATGTAGAATTACATTTAGACCTAATCTTAAGAAAGGCTTTCAGGAATAGAAAACATACCAGTGATGAAGAATCGTTGAGATGGAACTGCTCGAAGTATATGGAGCACCGATTCACACTATAACCCGTGAGGAGATTTTCTGCAAAAAACAATCCCAACCTGTAGGTACTTGGATAATCGTAGCAGCGGATGAAATTGACGAAAATAGAAGAGAACGATCCGTGAACAGAGATGGGAGAAGGGTTCGACCGGCCTGGATATTTCGTGAGCGGAGACGCGCAAAGAAGATGAGGGGAGAACGGTGAAAGCTGGGTACGGAAGATTAGAAGAACAGCGATTGACTAACGAAAGGCCATTAGTAGAGGTTTTTTACGCTTTAAAACAGCGATAAGAAGAACAGTAGCGTGTTTTTAAACGGAAGGCCATTGACTAACGAAAATTTTATACTCCGAATTTCATACGGAATATAATATATATAATCTATAATACTTGAGCATTCGGTTGGTCGGTCAAATAACCGATTATAATTTTTTCCTATCATAACCGACCGATAACCGACCGAAAACATTACGAAAACCGACCGAAAAATGTCATTCGGTTTCGGTCGGTAACCGAATAACCGACCATAACCGAATTTTGGAGATTTCTTTAAGAGTAAAATTTTCAGATAAAAGCTTTTAATAATTTAACACATTGCCAGAATATCAAAAATACGAAATACAAAATTGTAAATCTATCACCGTTCCACCATTGTTCATGAGCTCGCATCAAGACATACATCTCTTTTCAATATTCAATAATCCAATCAAATACGGAGTATTACATGCTAGATACAAACTAAAGGTAAATGAAGAAGGTAATTAGATTGGGTAGAGGTAATATATGGGAGTTGCTTTGCTACTTCACTTCACTGGATTACAAAATTGAAAAAGAGAAATCGGATTACCTTTGGATCTTCTATAACGCAAAGATTCATCGCTTTGCAAGGTTAGCCGCTGAAGTGGAGAATCGAGAACAGGGATACTTTAGCGATTACTGTTACTATTTCTCTAATAAGGTCTGCCGGTTCAAAAGTTTGGGCCAGATCCACGGGGCTATAACTGGTTTGGGCCTATCTTAATATAAAAGGGCTATTTTTATCATTATAGCCTTATTATAATATCGGTTATCGGTCACTGACCGAAACCGAAGATTCAAAACCGCTAATTAACCGAAAAACCGATATTTTTTACAAGTAATAACCGATAACCGACCGATAAACGATTTTTCGGTTCGGTTCTGTCATCGGTTTTCGGTTACGTCGGTTTTTTCGGTTATTTGCTCACCCCTTTACTTGTACTAGCAAGAATGATCAGGTCCGAACGTTCGGACAGGAGCCTCTGTCCGAGCATGGACGTTTGGACCACTTCCCAGTGGTATTTTTTTATGAAATTTTTTGAGCATGTTCCTCATCAATTCTAGTTTGTTCATACCAAATTTCAGCTCAAAATTCGATCGGGAAGACATTCAAATCATTTTTTGAAGTTGACTGCGTTTTTATATGTATATTTTGACGCAATCAACTTCAAAAAATGATTTGAATGCTTTCCCTATCGCATTTTGATCTGAAATTTGGTATGTACAAACTAGATTTGATTAGGAACATGCTCAAAACATTTCATGAAAAAATTTCACCAGGAAGTGGTCCAAACGTCCATGTTCGGACGGTGCTCGACGGGGAATGTTCGGACCTGAACATTCCTCCTTGTACTAGTAAACAAGTAACTGAAGTAAGTTTTTCTTATCATAAAGAAAGTGACTGATACTTGAGTATTAAATAATTAGAACTATGGCAAGTAACAAAATGATAAAAAGTCTTCTCTCAACTATCAGCTCTCGAATCAGACTCAATTATAATGGACATAATTTAGCCAAAGACGATCAAAATATACTTCCATCATGAATCCAAACTCCAGGGTCTGACAAAATTAAAAAAAAAACACAACCAACAAACAATACCAGCACAAAAAAACTAAAAGAAAGACAAAACTAGTAGAGGTAAGTTGATTCCCTAGAATTACGGGAAGCTTGATCTTTCCTTCTTGGAGAGAAGACTTTCTAGAATCTCAGGCGGACCTTGAAGTGTCATCTTCCAAACCCTAGTCACGTGGCCACTCCGAGGCGGCGATTCAGGATGGGGACGTACCATGTCTTTGCGACTAACCTCAAACCAGGAACCATGTTTGACCAGCCAGCCACTTAACTCAAACATTTCAATTACCTACACATCAAATAACATAGATAAACGTCGATCCCACAAAATCGACCACGTTTCATTTTGAGTGAGAGATGTCGATCTCCATTATTCTTCCTTACCAACTCAAACCGGTACAAAACAGCCACCGAGCAACGAACGTAACATAACGTCGGCCGGAGGAAACTAAAGCCGAAACGAAAGTCGCTAAGGAGAAGGAGAGAGTTGCGACGCTAGGGTTGATAACCGCAAGTCATGATAGATGAATCATCATAAGTTAGAAATTATTTTTAGAATATTTCAAAAGGAAAATATTTGGTATCCTCTCCGTCCCGTTAATAATGAGACAAAAGGGGTGACACAAAAATCAATAAAAAGTGATTTATGTGATTATCTGATTGACATTAAATTTAATAAAGTAATAATCAAGTAAGAATCATTTAGAACCACACACATTAATTTGAAACGCGACAATTTTAGTGGGAAGAACTGAAAAAATAAAATGCGACAATCTTAGCGGGACTGGGGAGTATTATAGAATTAGTGAAAGTAAAGATTATTGAGTAGATAAATTAATTTATTGGCTTTGGTTTGAGAATAGTGTAACAACGTAACAAATACTCTCCCCTTCTCATTTAAAAGTTCATGTCCATTATTCTCTTAACGTGAATTGTTCTTAATCTTTTACTTTATATATTCATTTTTTTTTATCAAATTTAACTTTCTTGATCGAATATTATAAAATTTTTACTAAAAATAATCTTATTAATAACATGGATTAGTTAACTCGGTCAGTCAAAACAATAAATAGCGTGGAAAATTTAAGTGGGAGATTAGGAGATAGAGTACTTAAAAATGAGAAGTGCTACAAATCTAAGGGAAAATGAAAGGTAATAATCCAACCTTTTAGCGGTCTTCTTACAATAGTCCCACATTTTCATTATTCATGAATAATCTAACATTTGGACCCTATCTTCATTCACCGGCTCAATGGTTCCTAACCGATTGATAACCTGTTATTCCAAGTTATTTTCTAATCTTTGCAAATCATTATACCATAAATCTCACTTCAGAAAGATAATATTTTGCAAAGATGAGAAAATAATTTGGAATAACAAGTCATTAACTGGTCCAGGAACGATAAGAAAACGGTTAAAAAGTTGGATTATTAGTTTTTATTTTAGAGCGGAAAATCCGGATGAGATCATGAGACGTTATGGGATGTGGCTATGTGGCTCACTGGCATTATCAGAACCTCCACTGGCTCATGTTGATCTGAACTTTCAACTCCCTAGCCAGAATCCATGGCAAAAACGTTTATTTCATCGCAGTCGTTTCTTGGTACACCTTTTCCGTCCTCCCCCCACCATGGAAGCTTTCCGCATAGTCGACTTCTCTCCACCCGAGTGAAACTCAGCTTCCATGAGCTCTCGCCTATTCAAGCCCTCCACTCTTCTGTCGATTTTGGAGCTATTTTTACTCGAGCTGAGAGCTTTCTGTATACAATTGCTGATGCCGCCGTTGCTACTGACGCTGCCATAGGCGGCTCTGCTTCTGATGCTTCAGCTGCAGTTCCTCAGAAAAATAACGGTTGGTTCGGATTCGTTTCGGATTCCATGGAGTTTGTGCTGAAGGTAACTTATCAATTTAAATGAATACAATTTTTTTTAATTAGCAATTGCAATACCTTTATAGCCTATGATTAATTACAATCAGAATTTGCATTTGATTTTGCTGTCCATGAATTGAAACTGAGGAAAGACCATGTAACTGTTAAGTCTGTTTTATGCCAATACAACAACATCCAAGACGTTTTGAGGTCAGCTAACATGAATAGACATAGGACCTAAAATGATAAGATAAAAAGGATAATAAAGATAAGATAGAGTAAAGAGGATTAAAAAAACATAGTAAAGGATAAGAAAAGATAAAATGATAAAGATAAATAAGATTAAGGATAAATAAGAAGAAAATAGATCAATCCTCTTATCCTCCACACAAATAATCTCTCTGTTTTATGCTTATCCCATTTTAAATTTTATTATGTCTGTCCATCCCAGACTCCCAGTTTGAGTCTGAGATATTGCTTCTGCTACTATACTAGTTATGGAACAATAATTCACCAATAGTACCATTTGCGGTTCAACAAATTTGGGGACACATATAAGTATATAACTAGGCAAGGCTCAGAATCTTACTCCAAGAATGGAAATTGATGCGGTATTTCAGAAACATTATCTAGCCTGCATAAATTGATACGGTATTTCAGAAATAAGTAAATTTAATTTGCATTTGCATATAAATGAGACTTGAGAGTTTCACATTAAGAGCTACTCGTCTTCATGGCAAACCTTGAAATAGTTAGTCAGCTACTAGCAAATCAAGCTGAGTTGTGTTGAGAAATCCAACAGTCTCAAGATGTGTATTAAGTACTAAATGCTCTCTCTCTCTCAATCTTATGTGCCTAAACAAGAGTTGATATCACTGAAAATGTGACAGAATGATGATACACTTGCGTTACTCTTATTAGGTACTAAAGAACGGACTTGAAGCTGTACATGTTCCATATTCTTATGGATTTGCCATTATATTGCTTACGGTTATTGTAAAAGCTGCTACACTTCCATTGACAAAGAAACAGGTGTGCTTTCTCTGTTCATGGTATTTAGTTCAAATTTCACCTTGAAGGTGATGTATTTTAAGGAACATCTACTTTTCTCGTCCACAATTCAACATATAGTCCTAGACTGTTTTTTTAATATTAGTGGCAAGTGAAGGTCTGCACTAACTTTAGAATAATTCATTCAATTATGTTTGTCGTCTGTGAAAGGTTGAATCAACTCTGGAAATGCAAAATCTCCAACCAAAAATCAAAGCAATCCAACAAAGATATGCTGGGAACAAGGTGACAAAATTTTCAGTCTCTAACTCTCCATTTATATTTCTAAAAAGTATAATCAGTATATAGGTTTGTCCTCTTGTAATTTTATTTTCCTTGGAGATGAGTGGTATAATTGAAAATCTTCTAGCATGCCTGTGTGATATTCGGTGTTCTCATAGCTGATATATACATTTAGATTACATATATACATATAAGTCCCAAATGTGGTGGCGTTATCGTAATTATGAAGAAATTTTAATAGAAACATGCTGATAAAAGTTTGTCGGTATATAGAATAATTGCAATGTACAATTTAAAAGTGCATCTGCATGTGAAAATAAATTATACATAGTATTTATCTATGCAATTGTGATAAAAAAAAAAAATAAACACGCGTGACTGGTTCCAATAAAAAGTAGTCTTCCCGTTAAAAGTATTCTTCACTTTGAGCATATGAGGTTCACTATTGTAGCGATATGTTTTCCACTTTTCCGTCATCACTTTTGATCATTTATGGTACATTATTGCACCTATGAAGTCCACCTTTTGCAATGAAGAAAAACTTTGATTTATTTACAAAAATGTCAACGCGTTTTTCATCTACTTAAATGCATTTTTGACATAGTTAGAGTCATTAGATCTTAAATTCGATGCACCAGATTCATTTTTACTTTTCTTGGGAATTGAATTTTTTATTTGATCCCAAATTTGGATGCACATTTATACATACACAATGCACTATGGAGAATAAAAATTGCAAATAAACTTTCAAATATTTACAATTTTGATACCACATTTTTAATGTCAAATTGATCTCATTCATTCATTTTTAAGGAATGAAAGACCTGGATTTGTTCTCATTTTTCATGGGAAGACTACTTTTCATTTGAACCTAACTTTACACAAACACACTAGAGGCAACTTCATAAGGTGATATATTGAAGGCTGAATTATGAAACTGCGGTAGTGTACTAGTGTCATGTCTTTTATTTAAAGTTGCAGGAACTAACGTATATATTAGTTTCTCTTTAGGAAAGAGTACAACTTGAGACAGCACGCTTGTATCGTCAGGCAGGTGTTAATCCTTTGGCAGGTAAACTTCAACATGGATAGTTTATTTTCTTCTTCCTTAGGATCTACTATTCTACTCTACAGTAATTTTGTTTTAACCTACCCTCTCCTACTAGTTGTATGCATTTTATCATGGTGATGATTTATTTATAAAATTAATTAACAGGTTGCTTACCAACATTGGCTACAATACCAGTATGGATAGGATTGTATCAAGCTTTATCAAATGTGGCAAACGAGGTACAACAGGAATATCATACAGAGAAAAATATATTTACTACTGCTAGTAGCTTCTAGAAACACTCGCATTTATTTATCATGTACTATTCAATGATGTAATTGTAATATTTTTTACCTAAAAAGGGACTGCTTACGGAAGGTTTCTTGTGGATTCCTTCATTGGGAGGCCCAACCACTATAGCTGCTCGACAGAGTGGAGCTGCAATTTCTTGGCTCTTCCCATTTGTGGTAATAATAATGCTACATAATAGCTTTGGATGCCAAACAGATATGCTAATAATCATACTCCCTTAGTCCACGACTGAACACCCCTGTTACTATGTAAGAGGCTCAAAACTGCCATCTACCAGATAGTCGGATACCCTAAACATCCTTCCGAATAGAACTTGAAATAGCAAATAATTAAGCATTTAGTGTTGGAGTCAGAAGTGTACCCATCTAGTTTATTCTTCAACTTGTATCATGCATGCTATGCTACATGGGTGAATGCAACTTTTATCCTCACACCATGATGATTTATTATAAGATTTATATACTCCCTCCGCCCCCTATCTTTGTCCCATTTTACCTTTTTCGCCCGTTCCACTAAGTTTGTCTCATACCATATTTGGTAATATTTGGATGGTTACAATTTATTCTTACTTTATTCACACTTTATCGATTTAATATCAATCACACAATTCCATTTTCTTAATACCCACACGGCCACACCACTCCCTCTTGTCCCAATGTTAGGGGGACGGAGGTAGTATCTCTTTAAAAATATCAATTTTCAAGACATTTATTCTCTTAACTATGCAAATTTTCACCCAATGTGCACACTCTTCGAGGACATAAGAAAATAATTTGAAGGGTGTGACTTGTGAAATTGTGTGAAATATGAGCCACATCTGAATCCTCTTTTGTTAAACTACTAATATGTAAACATCCATCAATCAGGATGGGCATCCACCTCTAGGCTGGCAAGACACTGCAGCTTACCTTGTATTACCTATTCTCTTGGTGGTCTCTCAGTATGTATCAATGGAAGTAATGAAGCCTCCCCAAGTAAGGAAATGGTTTAATCTTATATTTCCTTTGTGCCCGCTTCCATTCTTTTGTCTAGTTATCTGAAACTCTTTATCTGCTTTTGGTAGACAGATGATCCCACTCAAAAGAACACACTTGTTGTCTTGAAGTTTCTTCCTCTCATGATTGGTTACTTTTCTCTGTCTGTCCCATCTGGTTTAACAATTTATTGGTAATCTCTTAAGACCTGGATTTATGTACTGTACTCATTATGCATTTTGTTCGTCGAGTAACATAATGGCATTCGTTGGTACTTGTACTAATTCATCCATGAATATTTATGATGGATACTCAATTACTCATTAAGTCATTATATGGCAAACTATCAAGATGGGAAATATTTGAAGGCGTAGAAATCTTATTGTTATTATGGAACTATATTTCATTTAATGTATCTGCGGGTACTCTATAGTGAACGCTACAAGTATGATTTGATTTATGGAAAAACTGTGTAGTTATCTTTGCTTTCACGAATCAGTCTTCTTTCATTATGCCTCTGAAAAGAAGGTAAAAGCTGATAATTTTCTCTTCAATTTATCAACTCAGTAATTCCATAGAGTTAGAATGTAGTATTATACATTTATACTCGCATAATCTCTTGGCAGAGCATTTTGGAACATTTGTACAACTCTTCATACAGCAATATGTGACATAGAGAAACATGTAGCCTAACTTCTTTCTCACATATGGTTTTGATATTTCATTTTTGTAACTGTTGATTTTTTTTTATGATGTAACTGTTGAAACTTGAACCTCCAGACATATTTATTATAGCATGTCAGTGCATAGTTTGTAATAATTTGATTTCTTATTAAATTTATGTGTTGCCTCTTAACTCTAGGTTCACAAATAATGTGTTGAGCACTGCACAACAAGTGTGGTTGCGCAAATTAGGTGGTGCGAAGCCTGTTGCTGAAAATACAAGCGGCATAATAAGTGCTGGAAGAGCAAAAAGAATGTCTTATCAACCGGTGCAGACTGGGGATAGGTAGGTTAGTATTATTAGTGTATTACAAATTACGTAGACTCTTCGTTATTTATCTTGCTCAAAACTGTGACAGATATAGGCAGCTGGAGGAAGATGAGAAGAAAAAGTCGAACAGGGGACCAACGACAGAGCAGGGAAGAATATCAGCTTTGGCCTCAGATTCAGAGAATGAATTGGTGGAAACTGATTCGGAGGTACATTTTAACTTTTTATGAGTGTGGAGTAGCCACTTTAGATTCAGGATTAGCACTTCTGTAGTTCTGTACTATGCACTATTTCATTATTCCCCGGTTTTTAGAGAATAAGTGGATACATGATTAAACCTAAATTTACAAATGCATGATTCAAGCAAGTCGCATGCTGCAAAGTGTGTTGCATCACAACAATGTTGTTGCCTGGTAGAACAAATGTATTTCTGCCAATGATATGGAGAGTGCATTGTTTGACAAGCCTGCTCAAGACTGTAGGGCTTGATTAAATTTTTACTAACTTTCCTATCTCCAAACTGGATGAGAAAAAACAGGAAATATGATGATTTTTGGAGAAGAATATTGAATTTGCCAATGCACTTTGCCACTTGGGAGTCTTATGATGTGTTTCTGTTACTCCTCAGTTATTAATTTTTTTGCTCCAATAGGGTTTTCTGGGAGTTTTTTTTTAAAGTATGGGTAATAAATAGTAGGAGAGATATTGTGAAGAAGAAGAAGAAAAGTAAGAAAGAGATTAAAAAGAATGGGTATTTATGTAGCTTAGGGTTAAAAATTGCCAAATTAGAAAATAGAACAAATAATAGAACTTTCCAAAAAGGAATAAGAGCAAACAATAAAAACAAATGGGGTAATAGATCATGGCAGCAAACTATATTTAAGTCTTAGTTTCAGTTATCTGCGGTGGCCAATATTTCTGTCATGGTTTTGTAAGTAGTAATATTTCATCTCAAATCTATATTCTTTAATGTGAGAAAGTGGAGACCTTCCTTTTACCAAATTAAGGAATGTGAAACTATTTATCTACGTAAAATTGTAAAAACAAAAAAGGAAAGAGTGAAGAGGAGGGAAGAAATGGAGGTGGTTAACAAATATTTGTTTGGTTCAAGTGTTCAATGAAGGAATGTGGTGGGATGATTAATTTTTGAAAATATGTAAAAAAATAATGTATTTGATTTTAATACAATTTTTGTTGTAAGAGCGCTGTTTGGGAATTAGGAAAAACAGGGATGGGTGATGGGTCCCAGGGCGAGGGGAGTTATGGGGAGTTTGTAGGATTTTATCTCCCAGGCTCCATCTCCCCCAATCAAACACAGTCCCATAAGGCATTAACTCTTTCTTCCCTCCCTCCTCCAAAACCCTCCAACCAAACAAGGGCTAAATAAAGGGTATTCCTATTAATGTGTTCACACGCAATCTTGAATTCTTCATTGAGATTAGGATGATCATGATCTTGAAGCACATTAAGAAAATTGGCTTGATGGAACACCAACATCAAGAGTGAGCTTATGTATGATGAATCATGATTCATGGCAATGAGATCAGCAGTGAATTGGCAGTCAAACTCCTGCAACCTTTTTTAGACACTAGAGCGCTTGAATTTCTTTTTATTTTGACTTTTTAACCCAAATTTTGGTTGAATAGTACATTCGACGCCCATACTTGTTCAATTTTATCTCCCTCAACTTAGATTGAATTAACATCTCAGTATCTCACTGCAGAAAATGGAGGTTCTTGAAGAGGCATACACTTCTTCTGGCAACGGCAAAAAAAATCCAGACTACACTGGGGTGCCAAGGAGGAGTAAACGATCTAAGCGAAAGCGTGCGGTATGAAAATGATAGCCATTTTGAAGTCAGTTTAACTATCATCATCATCATCATCATTTTCATTTACCCCAGTGCCGCAAAGGCTCCCACCTACGGTGGGGTAAGGGGGGGTCAGATGTAAAATTGTTGTAATATAGATTCTTAGCTATAGATGCCATTTCTACATCAACCATTAGTTTGTGGTATATAACTACCACTCACCGCATTTGTTTGTAGGACATTGCTTACTCCACCTATTTAAGTGTTTTTCTACTCCTCCAAGGGAAGTTCTTAAAACATTCTATTATAGTCTCTCTTCAAACTTGTTTTATTCCTTCTGGGTGTTGTTGAGTCAGAGGTACAAAATCATGTATTTCAAATATGTGTTTACAATGTCTGAAGTAGGAATTTGTATCCAGGTTTGCTAAGAGGACTTTTTTGTAAGAAATATTTATATAGTTGTCTTAATTATATAATTTTCTACTTATTGCTTGGGTTTCAAACCTTCATGTTGTTGTGGTGATGGCTTTTGGTGTCCCTTTGGGTTCTTATTAATATTTATCTCTTTAGCTGATAAAAGATTGTTCAATCATCAGTCTTTTTTTTGCTATTCATAAGAGCAGCCCTAAGGCTGTTGTCTAAGGTGATACCGTGATACTCTGGATTCTGGAAAAATAATTGCAATATATCAGCAATGTTAACTTTTGAAAATGTCAGACTCAATTTACATCCATCCTCCCGGATGGGGTGTCAACTATGGATGGACTCGGTTCGGGTCAGGCCCGGGCCGGGCCTCCGGTCCTGGATTGGAGGGCCCGGAACCGGCCCGTGTAACCCCCGGATCCGGGTCGGGCTGGGCCTCAGTTTTTTTTTTTTTTGCCTTTTCCTAATTAACCTCCACCCCCCCCCCCCTCACACCGAAACCACCTCAAATGGCCCAAAATACCCAGCTCAATCCAAAAACTTTAAAAAAAAAAAAAATGGCCCGGATCGGGCCCGAACCGGCCGGGCCGGTTCACGTTTTGAGGGGCCCGAGCCCGGACCGGAACCACCTCGGGTCGGGCCTACCCGGACCGGTCCCTGACCGGGCCACCGGGCCGGGCCGGGCCGGTTCCGGGTCGGGCCACCCGGCCCGAGTCTACCCATAGTGTCAACCGTGTCATCTTTTTTTATGGACAAGGTACACGAAATTATCTTTTCCCGATGTGAAGTTATTCAAGCCAAAGCATATTTAGGATGTTTTCTGTTGGACTGTTTTCAGTCTCAGACCAGACTTCCATAGTTATAAAATATACAGAGACTATTCCAGTTCAGACCAGACCAGATCAGACCAGCAAATTTCAGTCCAAAAGAAAACATTCTTACCCCGAGGCCACAAATTCCCACAATAGATCATATGACACATCACAACCACATAAGGGAGTCACATGTGTTTCCATAATTTTTTTTTGCATTTAACCTTGTCACTTTTATGTAAAGGTTACTATTAGAGTTAACTTATTAACTCTATTAGATTAATTGTATATAAGTAACATTTGAATTCATAGTTGATTTATATGTAGTCTTAAGACTCTGTGCTACTCACTCCAACTAGGGGTGGACTGGGACAAGGCCGATCTTCAGGTCGGGACTGCACGAGAGTTAAGCGTGCTTGCACGAGAGTAGTCTTGGGAAGGTGACATCATGAGAAGTTTCTCAGTGTGCGCACGAGTGAGGACAAAATGTGCATAAAAGGCTCGTGGTGGTTTGTGAAGACAGTACTAGAGGCCTGCATGCGGTCAGAAGTAACTATTGGGTTGAATAACTCAGTGAAGTCCATCTGAAAGAGGGTGAGACAAGATGTAGGAGGATTACACCACCTCTAAACCATGATATGTCTTGTGTTCCTTTTATTTTTAGTTCCAACACTATTATATTCATACTCATCCTAAACACCGATCTTAAATACACCTCTCAAAAGCTTTTACCTTGAATTTCTTATTCATTCCTATCATAAGAATATCAACAATCTGCTCATCTGGCATGTTAATATTTATCTCATTCATCCAAGTATTCATCCACGGATTATCTTGATCTTGCACAACATTGACTAGCTGCCTACTGCTAAGTCACTAGCAATATGCTGGTAACTAGACAGCAAGTAGCCTTCTACTCACTATTCGAAGTTCTTAAACACTACATTAAAACTTTGATTGTTGCCTAGCCCATCTAATTACCACACTACAAGGGTCATAACTTTGTTACTATAAGCGTCACACTATACGAGGGTCAAGAGTTTTGCTGACAGTTCAAAGGTCTCCGAAAAGATCTTGAACTCACTTTATTAAAGGAAAAACTGTGAAAAGATGAAAAAGATTTAAAAGTCTATTCACCTCCCCCTCTAGACTTTTACCTCGGCAGGGACCATCAAAACTTTTTGACGTTGGCCCTTATCGGTCGGAATTATCCTAATCCATAACAACTTATACCGTCCATATTCTCCTCCACCCAATTGTTAGTACCTTTACCTCTGTCCCAAGTCCATTGACAACCACCAAATGGAAAATCTCGTAAACCATTTGTCTTTACTGCTTCCCAGGAATCTCTTAAACGCCGAAGAGGATGAGGGATCCTTACCTTCAACTCGGACTCATAAAGTATATCGTTGAAATCACCAATGACCATCCAACGTAAATTACTTCTACCTGCAAGATTATGAAGCATAGCCCATGCCGCTCTACGTCGATTTGTCTCAGGAAAACCATAAAAACATGTCAAACAACAACCTTATTCATTTACGATCAAACAAACATTGCAGCCAATGAAATTGGTCTGACAATCCAGAACTTTCAACTCTGTTTCGTCATTCCATCCCAAAGCTAGTCCACCGCTGAGTCCTATACTGTCACAGTTGCAGCTATTCTGGTACCCTGGCGTTCCGAGCGCCTCTCTGACCCCGTTGTCATATTGCCTTTGTCTCCATAAGAAAGATGATGGAGGAACGGTGCGCCTAGATAAGATCTGCTAGGCCTTGCTGCGTAGTCGGGTTTTCCAATCCCCTACAATTCCAACTAACCACACTCATAACTCACCAAATCAATAGGATCAAACGAAGACAACCGCTGGACAAATGGACGCCATTGCCAAAAAAAACACCGCCGGGAAAATCCTAGAAACGACCGCCTTTAGCTAATGACCACATCATGAAACTAGCTTGTAATTAGTGAAGCACTCGTAAAAGAGAAAATCAGAAAGGATCAATCAAAGCTCCTAGCGAAGCTACTATATGCAACCGCCAAACTCGATTCCTAGAAGAAATTCACACTGTTGTCTTCAAATAAAATGGTTCAATGTTTAGCACTTCTGCATGGCAACAGCCAACGAGAATCAATTGGTCCAACCCTTGGCAGTGTGGTGGCATGGGATGGTGATGATCACCGATCGATCGATTTGACAACAAGGTTTTATCGCTACTATGTTCTAACAACAATGTGACTATTTGAATATGAGTAACTGAGTAGGCGAAATTTTTAATAAAACTTTCGAGATTATTAGATATTAATTTCTTTATTTAACCCTAACTACAACGGAAGTTTCTTTTTGGTTAATTATAAGGAAAGATTAAGAAAAAGGTTGTTGATTATCTCAACAAAAAGCATGATGAAAAAGACGAATTTGTCAAAAACATGAAAAATGTGGCTGCTGGGATTCGAGCCCAGGTCTCCACGGCCACAACGTGGAATTCTTACCACTAAACTACAGCCACAAGTTGCTTCAATTCCGTTCGGAATCATATTATTCCATATAGCATGTTTTCTACCTGTTTTATGTGTTTGGGACCGCGCCAAATTCACCACATTTAAGAAAAGCACAATCCGCGCCTACATCTTCCAAAAGCTATCCAACCGTCGATGTACCCCCAATCAATGCTCTATATTAACTCCTCACAGGCGCAGGGATCAACACATATACCCGTCGATTACAAGATTCAAATCGACGCACTAGATTGAGCCCATTTTCCACAAGCCGGCAATATAAAAGGCACACCCCGCCTTACCTTTTATCACCACCATCAAGTCATCTTCTCCTATCACCTGCATTTCAGAACCCTAAATTCTCATCTCTGCAAAAATGTCAGGCCGTGGAAAGGGAGGCAAGGGATTGGGAAAGGGAGGAGCCAAGCGTCACAGGAAGGTCCTTCGCGATAACATCCAGGGCATCACCAAGCCCGCCATTCGCCGTCTTGCTCGTAGAGGCGGCGTGAAGCGTATCTCCGGTCTCATCTATGAGGAAACCAGAGGAGTTCTCAAAATCTTTCTAGAGAATGTGATCAGAGACGCCGTGACCTACACTGAGCACGCTCGGAGGAAGACTGTGACGGCGATGGATGTCGTCTATGCTCTCAAGAGGCAGGGAAGGACCTTGTACGGATTTGGAGGGTAGAGCTTCGCAAGTCGTAGATGTTCATCTACGATGAATGGAGATGCTTGTCTCAGCTTAATTTCAATGGTGTAGTTAGCAAGCAATATCATGTTTTTGTTTACAGCCGATTAATCAGAAGTAGGCTTGTTCCTTGTCTCTTCCAGGAAGGAATACTTCTTCTTGGGATAAATGCAGATGCATGTTTCAGCTCAATTTCAATGGTGTAGTTAGTGATTTCATGTTTAGTTTGTGGCCAATTAATCAGAAGTAGGCTTGTTCCTTGTTCATCGGCCAATTTGAAGTAATACTTGTTCTTAACTTGTGAATCTAATTCGATGGTTACTCTTGTCAATTCAAGATTGTGTTTAGTATTGGATCTTTCTGAGGCGGCTCTTGCAGTTTTTGGTATTTAGAAACCTTTTTCTTATCTTTTAGACTATCTTTCTCACCCTTTCTCTGAAATGAAGTAATTTGTGATGATAAACTAATCTGAACTAGACTTGTTATTGATTTACGGAGTATTATTTTGTTGGCAACAATGATGTTCTTTGTTGAAACTCATGTGAAAGGAAAACTGGAAATGAAGAACAAGCGTTGAATCAAGCAAAAGCATTTCTCTGAGAAGTTCAAAATGAGAATAAGGCTATTTAATTGAAAGCTATTGTGCTTGAGAGCGAATTCATATGAGAGGATGTATCCAACTACATCCGATAAGTCAACTGTCAAATAATATCCGTCACTATTGACCCAGCTATCTGCTTTCTCGTATCTCTTCTAGTTACTTCTTCTCCGGAGTGGAACGACAACGCATGAGCAAGGAGTCTTTTACCTCCCTCGTTTTTGCCTTCTAACGTCGGAAGTGATGTTGTCAATGGCGGAGGACGGCAACGGCTGAAGACGGCATGTGAAGAATTGCTCATCACACCTTTCTTCAACTACAAAGCTGTCGCCCACTCAGATGGCAACAATGTTGGTTTCTACTTTTGTCTCTTGCGGAGCCTTTCCAAATCATTACACCACCTTTTTCCAAATCATTACACCACCTTTTGGCGATTGCCCGTTCTTGTTGTTGCAAATGATTCTCCTATTTTTCTCTTGTGTTTACAGGTGTATGTTTTAGCAATGGGATAAGGGTCAAAAAAAGAAATCTCAGATATGACACTTAAGTTTTTGATGGACCAAATAAACCCAATTTTAAACTTTTACCTTCATTTTTAACCACCCACTAACATTCCATTCAAACTATCGTTACACAGCTAAATAAACCAAATAACCCCCAAGTCCACC